ATAGTTTTTTTCCAAAAATAAGGTCATTTAAGGTGGTCCCATAACTTTCACAACATTACTGCGATTACACAGTTTCAGCAATACAGTACACAAGCGAATTGTAAACCTGTTTTTCTGTGTAATTTGTCGTTAGCCCCTACTGTTAATTCGATTGAAATTATTTAGTCATTATCATGTCAGAAGAAAGGTGTTCGATTATACTCGATTTAAAAAGATATTTGAGTAAACAACGCATAGATGAAGGTGAAGCCGAATGTGTGCAGATACTAGAAGAGTACCTCATTGTTCAAGGTAACTTTAACAGTCTATATACACTTAAATTAACCACCAATTAACCATGGCAGGCATATAGTTTTATAAAATGCATTTTATTGGCAATAACAGCTGGCTTATATTATTTTCTACTTTAAAAGAAAAAAAAAGTACTTTTCCAGAATTTTTTTTTATTTTATTGTTTTAGCTTCTGTATGTGTGTTTTTTGGGGGGAATTTTCTTTGACAATATTTTGTGAAATGTGTTTATATGTATTCTAAAGCCCTTAAGGATGGTTGTTTTTAAAGACGCAACCAAAATAAAGATGATTCATCTAATTCCAATTCGGAATTTATATATTTATACTGTATCGGTCTAATGACACACAGCTAAATGAAACACAACTTCGGACACTGCCAACGTCTGACGTCGGCAAAGACAATACAGTCGCCTCACAGCGCGGCTAAATTTTCAGTAAAACAGGACTGTTCACGTTCAGCGCGCTGGGATTTATTAATAAAGAGGTAAATGTAAAAAGAAGACTGGAGACGCACGTAACTCATTTATTTTTCAAGATGTTAATATCAATTGACCCCTCTGCCGGATTCAGTTCGCCATTCGTCGTAGTGGCTTCAAGACCGTCAACTGTAAATGTTTCCTGATCACGGGCGGGATCGCAAATCCTTCCCCGGCTCACTCGCAGCACGTCTTGAGGCGGCGACTCGGTTTGGTCGCTTTAATGGCGGAAGGAGTGGAGTGGTTGTTTATTCCCCCACAAAATTTAAGCCATGGTACACGATAAAAAAAAAAAATCTGCTGGACTTTACAACTTTAAAATGATATTTTAAAACGTCGTGTTCGCGTGATGGCTGCACCCGCTTCACTCGGCCTATTTACTGTACAGCCACAAGAGGTTGAGTTTATGTCTTCCACCTGGACCTCATTTCGAAGTTAAATTCGTGAAGAGAAAACGTAACGTTTGAACTACAGTTTTGAAAACGTTACATAGTAAATTCCGCATCTTAAAAAAGCGTTGACCCACAGGTCCCTCGGGATTGTATTTTTGAACCCAGTCCGCCTACAGCAATACCAATACAGATTTCAACATATTGTAAAACGCTATAACCATGTCTGGTGTTTAGATATAAAACATTAATCTCTGTTTGGAGGAAGGTTTCTTTCTTATTTTTATGAAACTGTAAAAAGTCATTTTTAATCATTGTACGTACTGTATAATTGCCATAATAAGTTATAAAGATGTATCTCAAATTTATTTCCTATAGATATTGGATAATGTGTTGAAGTGTCATTATGTTTATTGAGGTTTTGAGAAAATGTAGGGCTTTGAGGAGGATTGTTAGAAATTCATCTGTTCTCCATGGGTATAATCCTACACACTTCCTTGAGTTGGTGGAGAATCTAAAGGGTACAGATTATCAATGGGACCACACAGGAAAGCTGACTTGTTTTTGTCATTGTTTTAGGTCAAGACAGAACACACAGTGTCCTCAGTGATGACCACAGTGACAAGCACAGAATGTTTTCTGCTGTGAAATACAGGGGAGTAGACTATGTGTATGAGGTGAGTAAGGTTAGTGAAGTCAGAGTCTGGTGAATTGTGTTAACTTGAGGATTTTTTGTCATCTGTTTAGACATAACTAGGGTTGTTCCAGCACAGTTTTCCGTAAGACATATGTTGCCATTTAGCACATCATACCAGCAGTTGTCTTGGCAGAGCATGTATGATTCATTCCACTGAAGGATCAGCACTGAACACAAAAAAACAGCTTTTCTTCAAATGGCGAAGTAATATTCTTCCACATAGCCTACATCACAACAGAGTGGACATTGTAAAAGACTAATGCTTTTGTTGCTGATAAGATCACATCTCGAAGAGGGAAGAGGTTCCCTATTTGAACTGTATGTTTTTGTTCTTCAGACTTTCAATTGTTTGGCAAAAAAAGGAAAACATTTGAAAACTATTGAGTTCTACTAAGTGTGATCATAGATCACAGATTGGTCTATATCTGGGTCTGTGACAGTGAATTGGGTTTTGTTTATTATTGGTTCTCCTCAGATTTATTTTGAGTGGTGGTTTTTGTGTGTAGGATTGACTGTAAAATCAGGGATTGTGGTGGGTTTCCTGGTTCTCTGCACTATCTGGTACTTACAGTATGTTTCACTGAGTTTCACTGAGTCCCAGTTTCCCTGTAATGAGTTGTAAAGTATTTCCTTGGAAAACACAAATACCAGTTTCCTGTTTAGTTCTTCCTCTTTTGTATTCTAATTCTTGAAACCCAGTTCAAGGATTCTCCTTCTACTGTATCGTTAAACCCACTTGTGATTGGGCGGTGGGTTGTGATCCTATACCATTTTTTGGACACTCCATTCAAAGTACTTTACAGGTAATGGGGAATCTTCTCCACCACCAATGTGTAGCACCCACTGGGATGACGCAACAGCAGCCAAAGTGTGCAAGTACGCTCACCACAGCTACCAGTGAGGAAGAGGGCAGACTGATGAAGCTGATTAATAGATGGGGATTATTAGGAGGCCATAACTGGTAAATGCCAATGGGAAATTTAGCCAGGACACTGGGGTTAACACTCGTAGTCATTTCAAGAAACACCCTGGGGTTTTTAATGAAAAAATTACATCACATCCAAAGGACGGTTCCTTTTTACAGTATAGTGTCCCCATCACTATACTGTGGCATTAAGACCCATGTAGACTACAGGGTGAGCACTCTCTACTGGTCCCACAGACACCTCTTCCAGCAGCAGCTGTAGCTTTCCCAGGAGATCTCCCATCCAGGTACTGACCAGGCTCACACCTGCTGAGCAGCAATTGGCTGTGAGTTGCAGCATGATGTAGCTGATGGCTTCTTTTCCTCCTTTCATCCCATCTGTGGCTGCACAAAGCAGATGAACCCAGCTGGAAGGTGAGTGTCTCCTCTGTCTTCTGCGTGATCCGGCTGGGATCTTATTCAGTGAGGCTGGACTTCAGATAGAATGCCTTCCAAATAATCTCCCATTCTTTCAGCTGATACATCCGCCATGGGCATTGACACCCATGCTCTCCAAGCCAGAAACTTCCAAACTCTCAAGATTTTTCACCAAAGCGTTACATTCAGTTGTTGCGGTTAAGGTTAATTTCTTTTTAAAAATTTGTTTCAAGGCATCCGCAAGACAGAGGCTGACAGTCAACTGGCTAGTTGTCCCTGTGCCTCAACACCTGGATCAGATTGATCAATACTCCTACAAAGGAAGTCTTCCTGATGACACCTATAGGAAACCATGGATTGGGGGTAAAGCATTTGTGCTGATACAGATATATATGCAAGCCTCTGTGTAATATCTTTAGTAAACTGGTCTTCTGTCTATAATTGTCACATTTGAAACGTGGGTTATATTCCGACGGCGCCTTTTATTTACAGTATTGAGTCCCCAACACTACACTGGGGTATTAGGACCCACACAGACCCCAGGGTGAGCGCCCACTATTGGCCCTACTAACACCAGTTCCAGCAGCAACTTGAGCTTTCCCAGGAGGTACTGACCAGGCTCACACCTGCTGAGCTTCAGTGGGTTGAATCCATCCAGACAGCTTCCACAAGCCTTTGTAAAACCTGTGTTATTATTATTCAGCTTTTATGTTTTCCAAAAGTGCCCACAAAACCTGTGATAACACATTTTAAGCAGCATAATTAATTTACTGGAGACGTCTGCTCAATGAATGCCAATGCACCTGCTCATCTGCTTTTCAGATGATAACTGTGAATTTGTTGCAGTTACATGTTTCTTAGACAGACCGAAATGCCAAATAAAGCTGTCTTTGTCCATATTACTTTTTTCCCCAAAATGCCTGCACAAGATTGTTGCTTAACACTGTTACCCCATTCACACAAATAATAATTTTCTTGATAAAAATAATTTTGCAGTAAAAGTCTGAAGGTGACTTTAATCTCATGCTGTCTTGAGACTTGCTATTGTCACAGAGGTGTGCAGATTGTCACTACGGGATGCCTGTTTACCCTATTGGAACAGTAATGAATATGCAAGGACTTTCACTTTGTACAAACAAATCTTAAAAATACCCAGATATCCCTGATTTAAGGGGAATTCTATGCATTCTACAGATTGTATAAGAAATACAATGCAAGCAAATGGATGTAATTTGATCTTTCTCATTCTTTATAGGCAATGCTAGTTTTCAAATACCGAAAGTTCAATCTATGCAATAACCAGGTAGTCCACTGCATCATAAATGTTTAAAGAGATGTTGTGTTCATCAGCAGTTTAACTGTGCTTAGTTGTTCAAGACCTTGCAAAATGTAGAACTAGATAATAGCTTTTTAGTCAATTTATTCAGACCGTGAGATTTTAAATATTAGTAGGATATCTCATTTTAAAGTGGTTTGTTGTTCTGTATTTTTGTTTTTTAAAGCTAACTACCTTTGTAATATTATATATTACAGCCCTAAGTTAAATTAATAAAATGGCAGTATTCTGTCATTTCTAAAGAAACACTTGAAAATACTGTTTTCTGACATGTTTCTACAAGCTTTTCCAAAAACAGGAATTACTGGTAATGACATTTATTGTTTGTGAAATGGACGTACAGAAGCCAATCTCAAGATCCATTGTGATTTATGTTGCTCTTCCACACGTCAAGTGTTTTTTTTCTGTCAGGGACAATGTCAGCAGTGTCATTATTTTTTTCTGTGGTCTGTTGTTTTAACAGGATCAGTGCTCTCCACCTGTAAACTGATCATCAGTGGATCAATTCTGAATGACTGGATGGCTTGTGGATATCCAACAGATGTCCAAGAAAAGTAATATTTGTATTACATTTTAAATATTACTCTCATTTTTCTATTTTCACACTTTTATGTGTTTTTTTTTCCAAGTCTTGTTTTGTATTATATGCAGGACCAAAACTTTTATGTTAGCCCCGAGGTTAAACTGACAGATGATTTCACATTAGTGATTCATGAAAAATTATTTCCATAACATCTACTGCGTTCTTTCCTCAACTAGAAACACTGGTGCAAAGTTTCTCTTGAAAGTTCAGTCAGGGATTAACGTGCATCCTGGAAGTGTAGGAGGCAGGACTGCTTCCTGGCCGTCGTTGCGCACACACTCATAATCCAGCAGTCATTCAAGTTATGTCAAATTTCCATGCAGTTTAAGGACACATGAAACCCACACAATTCTGTCTCATACTGTATTCTGATGATACATACATACATAGGCGACAGTTACTCTAGCCAGCATGTTTCTAGACGGTTTGAGAAAATCAGTGAACGTGTCAAAAACCCTCATGAGCAAAGAAAGAACTAGAAGGCTCCCCCAGCTGGAACAAAACCCAGGCTACAACAACTGTGAGGCAGCAGTACAAACCGCTACAGTATGTTGCATTCTTGCCTACAGTTCAGTAATTGTCATAAGAATTATTTAAAATTCACTTGCAGTGTAAGGGCATATAAAACCCACACAGTCCAGTTTCTTACTGTATTCTGCCGAACGACAGAGTTTTGTAGTATTTTAATATTTGGTATTTGTTAGAAATGTAGTATTATTAAGTTTGTTATAGTTTCTTACTGGTCCGTAATTTGACCTTTTTGTATTGTACTTCATAGGAAAGTCACTTTTGTTTGGTCAGAATTTCATCAGAGTTTTCACCAGTCACTCCACAGCAGGCACAAGCCGTGAAATCCATTCAGACTGGATGAAATCTGCACACAATTATATGTCATATAGTGACTATTGGAATGTAGCTATTACTGCCTTTTTAGATGCTATTTTGAGAGAGCGCCATAATGGTGCTCTCTCAAATTATACAATAAACAGCCCCAACCTTGCAGCTATATTTGTTGGGGCATCGTGGCTCATAACCTCTTCAAGGTCTACAACATTATTTCAGATTGGCATATCTGCTTGTACCTGTCATCTGCTCCTTATGAGTTTATTCTTTGGGTTAAGTAGGAGCTATATTTAGGAAAAAAATCCTGTGTGCCCTAAATTCTACATCCTTGCAATTTAAGTGACTCACTTTGACTAGGTAGGAAGCTCTCATTTTTGCTCTTGATCATTGTAATTTTAGGCTTTGATCAAAACTATGTCCAGTCCTACCCTTCCTTTTTTCCAGGTTCACTGTAACACAGGCACTAGTTAAAAGTGGAGCCGAAGACATGGTGCCCAGCTCCAACCCAAATTCTCAGGCTGACACAGATATTGATGAAGTCCCATTTCTCCCTGGGAAAGATGGATACAGCATACCTTGGAAAGAATCCTTCTCCAGGTTTTCTCGGGACTCAGAGAGCTTTAGGCAGTGGAATGAAGGTAGTCCTGGAATAGACATGGTACAGTATTTCACAGTAAGGTGTGGCTACAAACAGTTTACAGTGCTTTCTTAGTGTCCCTTCTTCAAATGCATTTTAGATTGTCAACATTTTAAAAACATTTAGATGGAAAGGTTTGATTACCTTTTACTTCAGTAAATTTATTGTTTTTAGTGACAGTTATTTAGTAGAGAAAAAAAATCTATTAGCTCTCCGACACAGAGAAACTGTTCTCATTCGAGGATGAGAAATGAAGACCAGGGCTTTATATATTTCCTGCACATGGACAAAGTTATGCCCTTACCAGATTCCGACAAGGTGCAGTTCTTTGGAAAATGCCACATTTGTGGGCATTAAATTCCTCCTTAACCATTATGCACAGGTATAGTGCACATTCAGACTTGTTATGGTTGTGTGTTGCTTAGAACCCTTTTGTTGTACCAGATTTGCTGTAGGCTATATAGAATAGCTTCAAGAGAAACAGCACATTCAGCTGAAGATTCAGAACTGTTAGATATATCAAATATTAAGATCATGCAAAGCAGTAGTAAAGAGCCACATGCTGATGGTGAAAAATTATTCTATACAGTCCTGTCATGTTAGATCAAAGTTACCAGAAGCTGCACTTCTGTTTTATCTAATTCTGTAGGTGTGCAAAGTTGATTTTGGGAAAGGAGTTCAACCTTCCTCCGCCCAGGAAATCTTCTTGATTTCTTTCATGGTGAACACCTGGCTGACTCAGCCTCCTGGTTATTAATATACACCCCAGGAATGGCCAATCACACATGGATGTTTCCACCTGTTCAGTTTCATTACTCAGTTAAGGCAGGTGTGTCCAATTGTCACTCCAATAGGAGGCTTTAAACAAAACCCCTGCAATACTGCAATACATTCATCACATACACCCCATAATGGTGTAAGTTAAGCATGATAAGTTTAGTCACTTACCTTTCAGTTGCATTATGCGAGATGAAATTAATATGACTTTTTAAAGCTACAGTAGTCTTAGTTTCAAACTGACAATTTCAACACAGCAAAATGGATACATTCCCACATCACAGATAAGGACCAGAGATTTTAATAATAATAATAATAATAATAATAATAATTGCTTACACTTACATAGTGCTTTTCTGGACACTCCACTCAAAGCGCTTTACAGGTAATGGGGACTCCCCTCCACCACCGCCAATGTGCAGCATCCACCTGGATTTTAGCAAGAGATTAATGTAAAGAGAATAATGAGAGAACTACAGAGTGACAAAACAGCCATCCAGGAAGTGGATATACTGTATGACATGGTGGCAGAAAGATGCTGTGGGTTAGTTACCTATTTTTTAAAATAAAGTTTATAACAAAAGTTCGGGGGGGATGACAGCAACCAAGCTCAATCGGTCCCAGCTGCTGGTAATTAGCAATTGCTCTCAAGGTCCTTTCCTCTACCAAATGCTATAAATACCTATGTGATCCCCACCTCTCCCTCGCATCCCACTTCCACCTCTGCAGCTACCTATTGGTCACTCTGCACGGGGGTCCTGGCCTCCTTGTCCTATGGCCAAATATTCACCCCCTAATAAGTTCATCTTGGGTGTTGTCATTCTTCGTGAATTTCTGTACTGTGGAAGAACTGAGCAATTTAACTTCCTGTACTACAATATCTTTCTATCAACTCCTGCCACAAATAAAGTGTGCGACAGTAGTTAAAGAAGTAACCTGTAGCATTTCACTGATTTATTCTCAGTTTGTACTACAGTAGTAAAGGAGAAGCCTTTGCTCTCTGTAATGGGCCTAGACAATAACCTGCATTGAACTACTGTTAATGAGGACTGAGGTCTGTAACAAACACAAATTCAATAAATATTCAGCGTTCCTAAATTTAAAAGCATTTTGCTTCCTCTTTAAAAGGGACTAGCAGGATTTTTTTTGAGAAAGAAAAAAGAAACTTTTCCCTTCTTTGCCTTACTTTTTTGACTTTAAGTGACTCATACTTTTTCCTTCCTTCAATCTTGTTTCCTTAAATCCAGGTCACTGATCCCTTTTTTTGTAACTGCCTGTTTCTTTACTTCTTTAATTACTGAGCAGCTGTCATCTCTCAAGTGATGCATAGAATTTCCCTTTATCCCAGTAGATTAATCTTAGTGCAGTACAGAAGAGCTTTTTCCTTTTTTCACAATTCTCTCTTGAATGAAGAAAACTGGGACTTACCGTAACTGCAAATTCAGTTACATTTCATTGTGGTTTCATATATTTTACATCCCATGCCACTACAAGATGTATCCTCAAGTGAATGTTCACGTTGTCAATATGTAGATTTTTTAAGATCTGTAACCTGTCCTGCCTCAAAGCAATGTATTTGATAATGCCAGTTTTATTCTTGTATGCTATGTTCCCTCCCCAGATTTTGACAAGTGTTTTTTTTAGATAAGGAAATATTCACATGATATGCATCTGTACTTTTGGGCCAAAATACCAAAGAGTTATTTCTTCAGGAAATATTTTAAGTGCTTGGGAACAAAAATGTTTTGCATAGCATTCGCTCTTTTTCTTCTTGTAGTTTAGAAACTACACTTATCGGATTCTACTGAATGTGTGTCATTTTGCAATGGATCATCTTAGTATTCAGCTGAAAGCCAATTTGCCTCTTGTTATGTTTCTATTTTTAATGCTGCACTGTCTCAGATTTTCACATGGATCTTTTTTGTCCATTAGTCCTGATTGCTAGATTGCTGTCCTCAGGCTCTTGATAGACGGGGCAGCACAGTTATACACTTACAGTACTTACTTTATTGCTTCAGATGAGAAATTCGCTTAACAAGCTTCTGCTGGTCACTACAAGAGCAGCCACTGTACTTATAATGATTCCCTTCTGCCTGAATCAATGTATTGGTGGGAGTAACTGTGGCAAAATAGTTATTGATAATAAACATTTATTGTAGGATTGCAGTAAGATTTATGAGTGCCTCTACAATTATCCATTTATGGGCGTAAATAAGTGAAATTTCCTATGTGATAGCATGAATATATGATCTATTCATTAAACACAAGACATGTTATTAAATACATTTTTTCATATGGTTTTCAGTAACTTGAGTTGTAAGTGAGTATGTAAATTATGGCTAACTTGGCTAAATCTCCCCCTTCTTGATGCGTGTTGGAAAAGATTTGGTACTTTCATGCTATGAGATCAAATAATGTTTTTTTAGGTAAAAATAGTATGCATTCTTTTCTTGGTCTGTTGTGCAGTTGTCTGTTCACAGTTCTGATAAAGTACACATTTGTCTCCAGGAACCCATTTTATATTTGCTATTTATGATTTTCTGCTCCATGACTCTTTGATTCAAGGAACATTGAAATAAGAAACTGATAATGCATACAAAATCTACTGCTTAATGATAAAAATGCCTCTGGACCTTGGAAGTTGGCACCCTTGAATCAGTTCTCTGTGACATTTAGAAAGCGTTTAATTTTGCATAATAAAACAAATCCAATAGATTTAACAACCACTACTGTTTACATATCTGAAAAAGTTGAAACCTTTTTCCTCTCTGCAGTCCACTGAAAGCCAAATTTAAAATTACCTTTTCTTTTTAAAATCAGCATCTCATAATAACTTTCCTTATTTAACCGAATTTTAGAATATCACTTAAATGATTAATGTAAAAAGTCTGAGCTTAGTCACAGCACACATCTGGTGATCTGGTGTAAGAAATTAAACTATACCGTATGTGTAAAGATACTATATGTTTGCTTCACAAAAACCAAGAAATCCTTAAGCATTTTCTTTGGGACTGTTTGGTTTAAATGAAAATAAAGATATCATATTGTATCCCCTCAGACCTCCATCACAGCAGCTGCTGTATTTTAATTAACACCTAACAGGATCGCAACAATTTCAACAACAACTCATAGTAATAAATTGAAAAAGAGAATCCAGACAACGTCTTAAGTCTCAATGGACAGGCTGGAATATAATGAATAAAAGCAACTTAGTACACTATAAGTACTGTAGCTGAAAAGAGGGAGCTCTTTTACACGAATAGCTGTACAGTATATGTGTGTATGACAAAACTGCCACACCAAGGCTTTAAACTCTTATTTTACAGATGTTTTTTTTCTGTGCTTTTGTCATTAACTCACGGTTGTAAACAGTATGTGGGTTATGGAAACAATCTATTCTAAAAGTAGGAAGACAACATTAGGTGGCTAAATACTGTAGCAAAAATACCTTCTAGTGTACTCATACTTGTCATTCAGTTTTCACTTCAATTTTAAGAGCAACAATGGATGCTTTGTGAGAAGGGCCTTTCCCACTTGTAACCTATGGTCACTATTGTGTTTACTGTTTTCTAGTAGAAAATGGGGAGAGCAGGCTGATTGTGGCAGCTTTGATCTATACGAGGACCTGTTTTTCTTGTCTTTAGTCAGGACAGGACCGAGATAGGTGTGTTCAGCATGATAACGGGGTGTGCAATGTTTAGTCAGAACAGAGCCGGTATAGGTGTGTTCAGCATGGTAGCTACAGTACATGTTGGGCTAAGGTTTTAGAACAGCCTTCAATGCTGTGATCATTGTGCTGTTGCGTAAGGAGCAGTCAGAAATATGAATGTGAAGCCGTTTTCCCTTGTGTCAGTTTCTATGAAGATCCAGTGTGAGTCAGACTCCTCTTAAAGGCCCTGCCTCTCCTTTTTTTTCCCACACGGGATGGGAAGGCTGTCAGTGAAACTGCCGTGACATCATACTCTCATGTTCCTCCACACCCTGTTCTGTAAGATTTCATGGGTTGTGCATGTGGAATCCCTTGAGGTTTAATCGCCCAAAGTGATTTCAGAGATTCCAAATGCAAACATTTTAAAAGCAAAGAGAGACACGACTGCAGTGCTACAAACTGTCTGCAGTGCTAGAAACTAGACCTTTCTTTGTTGTGTGTCTACCCATGTACAGTAAACTGTGTATAAGGAAATGATAAAGGTTTATTCCACGCTAAAAGGTAAAGAAAAGAATAAGATTTTAGGCTTTGGAGCCCTCTTCAGGTCTGAGGGAGGGGGGAAGTACCAGATAGGATCAGGTAGGAGTAGGTAAGAGTGGGGGAGCAGGGGGACATGGGCATAGAGCAGGTGAGAATGAGTGTCCAAACTAAGAGAGGACAGTAGGAGAGGTATGGGAAAGACGAAATCTGCGAATGAGTAGAGAGGATTGTGAAGGACATACACTGTGCATATGCTGTTATGCACTCACTCAGAATCTGTTATATTAAATTTTTGGGGCTGTTTTTTTTCACAAACAGACTTGATTGTTATCCATCTTACTCAGTTTATACTGTTATCATAAATAATTTGCATGGATAAACAAAACTTTGTAGGGAACTATGTATTGTAGAAAGCGGTTTGGAAGAAACTGCATAATTCCATTGCTCCTTGAGCTGTCTTTTTCTCCCATACCTTGGAGTTTGTGCTTAGATGTTATCATATTTCCATTTTCATTTTACAGTACCTACATTCCCAGTTTCAGGGGTTAATCCTGGAGCTATGCTCCGGAGGTCGCCAATCATTAAATTGATAAGGAGATTGAACTGATTTTTATTTTTGAATCATGCCTTTAGCATCAGTGGCTAGTCAGGCTTCTCAATATGAATATTTGTCTCATTTTATTGCCTCTATATTGAGTTGTAGTGCACAATGCAGACTAAAATTGGGCGAAGTCCGTCTTGGATGGAAGCATTTTTGTGACTAATATACTGTATTACTTCTGCATTGGATTATCCACTTCATTTTAAAAACGTAGAAAACAAAATGTACAGTCTGAGTTAAACAAGATCCAAACTGTCAAACACGGGTTGGGAGCGGCTCGCTGCCTGATGTTGCCACAGGTAACTGCAGCATTTCCACAAGAGCTCAAATTGGACCTGGGCCTGAAACCCCACTGATTCAGTGCTCTGACACTGAGCTTCCTGGAATAGTGCATTACCCTGCCCGCTCTAACAGTCTCTTTGTGAGACTCCAATTCTCTGCAACGCCACTTTTCTTTCGGTTTCCAGATACCCTCCCGCACCCAACACTGAAGGCTTTGTAACCTTTCCAGACTGATAGATATTAACAGCTTTTGTTCTGATCTCTAGGAATTTCCTTTGATCGTGTCATAATGTGCTTGTTGAATCTTTGTGCTGGCAACTTGACTCTGATGGTAAGGGTCAAAATAAGTGAGGTTTATATTGAGCAGGGCTGACTGTAATCAATCAGCTGACCCTGAATTATCCCTTTAATTGGGTTGATTTAACTAGAGGCAATTACTTTTTCACACAGTGCCAGTTGGTGTTAGATAACTTTGTTCATTAAATAAATTAGGGGCGGAGCAGTGGCTCTGTGCCTGTGGCTGGAAGGTTGCTGGTTCAAATCCTGCAGCTGGCAGAGTAATCCTACTCTGTTGGGCCCCTGAGCAAGGCCCTTAACCCCAACTGCTCCAGGGGTGCTGTACAATGGCTGACCCTGTGCTCTGATCCCAGGCTCTCTCCCTGTCTCTGTGTCTCATGGAGAGCAAGCTGGGTTATGTGAAAAGATGAATTCCTAATGCAAGAAATTGTATAGGGCTAATAAAGTGATGTTATGTTATTAAATGAGTAAAAAGAAATAGTGTTATTTGCTCACTCAGGTTCCCTTTATCTAATATTAGATTTTGGTTGGAGACCTGAAAACATTCAGTGTCACAAATCTGCAATAATAGGGGAAATCAGGAAATACTTTTTCAACACTCTGTAAATGTAGGCTGCTTTTCACCTCTGAGGTTGCAGTGCTTCTGTATGTGATTGTCTGTTTTTATTGTTGTTGGAATCTTCAGTTCCTGTGGGGCATATCACCACAGAGAGACCAAAATACAATTTTAGTTTTGATGCCAAAATTACAAGGCTAAGAGGTATTTCTCAATATTTCACTCCACATGCTCAACCTGCAGAGATGACAAAAGAGAGCTCAAGGACACTGCAGCATGTAAGAACTTACCCTAAAGAAAGCCAACGTGTGTGTGTGTTTTCAGACACATTGGGTATTCTAAAAATGTGTTTTTCTAATCACGTTAGATCAGTACAGTAATTGGTCACATGTACTGTATCTGTGATCAGTCTCACAGAAACTGTACGTAATTCATCAGCTATGCCGATATACAGTACATACCTCATCATTTTCTTTACCTCATCTGTCTTTCCTCCTCATTTATAGTTCTTTTTTATTAGAATGTTTAGAATACTTGCTGATGATTTTTCCCCTCCTGATCCTTGTGCATCCTGGCTCCATAATGACAGTGTTCCGCACATGCTACAGTTTAGTTCCACAGTTAACTCCTTCGCAGGCCTTGATTGTCCCTGTACTGTTTTACAGTCCTTCAGTTGTGATGAAGAATATTATATGCACTAAGTGTAATTGTTTTTGTTTTAAATTGGGGAATTTTCATTTGGCAGATACACGCAACAGCTCAATCCTTATAAAGTCAAACCTACATTTCTGCTCTTTCTACGTTTAACATGTCATCTGTGCTGTGTGTTTCTTGTTTCAGATCTCTTTGTGCAGGAGGATGTGGTGTTTACTGACTGCTTGGCAGAATTCCGCAGACAAATTCCAAAGCTGTTTAGCAGGCTGAGGATTCTATCTGTTCAAGACCCTCTGTTGAATGTTACAGGAGACGTCTTTAGGGAGGACATGTTTTTCAGGTACTGATCAGGGAAACTTTCCAATTAATTATCTACAAAGCATTTAGCTTTGATTACACAGCTTAATAGATCTTTGCTGATTACAAAAGCAGAATACATCAGGAAGCATTGCTGGTCAAATTCCTATGTTTTGACGTCAAAGAAGTATGTAATGGCTAATTAATGTCTCTTGCTGCACTTCAGTTTCAAAACCACTGGGGTTTCCATAACCTTTTGAAATTAAATAGAATGTATGCCCGTGTCCTGAAAGGAAACTCGTTTTGTTGGATGCACATATATAGAGAAATAGCAGTGGAATAGTTTTGTTTTTCACTAGATTCAGGGTTAAATGAAAAATATTTGTATGTAAAAAACAACCACCTCCAATGTACCAAATACTTGGTGAATTTGTATATGTAAACTACTGCTTTTTCAAGTAAATTATTGCTGATAAGTTAATTATTGACTTTTTAAGATGTATTATATGCATATTAATTAAAAAGTATATACAAATATATATATATGCAAAATTAATTATAATTGTATAATACTATAGACCTACAGGAATATCAGCAGCAGAAACTATAATGGCAGTCATGATTAATGACAGTAGCAGTATTTTTCCCAATTTGTCAAACTATTGCCAAGAGTATACTGTAGATTTTGTCTTTTCAAACAATCAAATGAGGAAATCAGAAATGACAGAACAATAGGGAACTGTAAGAAAAAAGTATCATAACTTGTTGTGATGTGAATGTTTTGAAGTATTCTGAAACTGCGCAGGTTTAGTCCGAAGCAAAAGTTGACCATATATGGAAACAGACAGTTCATAAAAAAGTAAAATAGGATAGGATAGATATTAAATCAGTAGAAAATGGATGGCAACAGATTTTACAGATTATACTGTTATCCCAAGAGTATATCAGAAACTAAACATACAGTAAGTATCCCAAAAGTTCAAATCAATCAGGACAGATATAAGGAAAAAGAGAGCACTTTGTAAAATGATTAAAAAACCACAGGTTCCACTTAGGAATAAGAGCACAAGAACTGCAAGCACAGGCAAAAAATATATTAGAGACCAAGAGAGAAATTGTAAGGAATACTGGAATGGAGGCTTAAATAAATAATAAAAAATATTTCAGTACTGCAACAGAAAAGGAACCATCAAGGATGAAGTAAAACATATCCGGGACAAAAATAGGACAGTTCTACACAATGAAAGGGAAATGGTTGATGTACTAAATGAGTATTTCACTCAGGTATTCACTAAGGAAGAAGGCATTGGAAGTTCTGTCTGAGATCATATCAGCATAGAAGAGGGGGGAGTGTTTTGGTTACTAGAAGCACACAACATTAATACATCCCAAGGGCCTGATGGTATCTTACCAGTAATATTCAAGGAAATGATAAATGTTATTCAGAAGCCATTGACACAACATTTCCAGCAGTTGAGTTAAGACGGGTAGGACACAGGGACTGAAGAACCGCTAATGTAGTAAGAAGTCTGAACAAAGTAAACATGACGAGTAAACATAACCAATAAGTCTATTACATGAAAGGATATGGAAGTAACTAATGTAGAGGATCACCTACATGGAAATTACTGTATATACAAAGAAATAGCACAAATTTAGAAAAGGTAGGTCTTGCCTAATTAGCTTGACTTTTTCACAAGTAACAACATTAATGATACAGTAGAGATACACTAAAGGCATCGATGTGGTGGATATACATTTTCAGAAGGCTTTTGATAAAGTTTCTTTTGTATATTGTATTTATTATATAATTTATGTTTTTACTACCTGCATGCAGCCATATCACCCTGCAGCTTTCAACTGGCTACCTGCTGAAGCTCAGCAGGGTTGAGCCTGGTCGGTTCCCGGATGGGACCTCCTATGGTTACTGTGGGAAGTGGTGTTAATGGGACCAGTGTGGGGTGCCCACCCTGCGGTCTGTGTGGGTCCTAATGCCCTGGTATTGTAAGAGTAGGGAGTTATCCCGGTGTCCAGGCCAAATTTCCCCCCTCGGCCTTTACCATGGCCTCCAAATTGTCCCCATGTATGATAGGCTTGCACTGGCCCTGCGATAGACTGGCGTCCTGTCCAGGGTGTACCCTGCCTTGCGCTCGTTGCTGGTTCCAGCTTCCCGCGACACCGTATGGTATAAAGCGGTTTGGCAAATGACGTGACATGACTACCTGCATGCAAAACCCTGCACTTGGCTGCATTAAATGTCACCTGTCAAGGGTTTTCCCTATTGGGAATTTTATCTAAAAATGATGCTAAATACAGCTAAACAAGATAGCATTAATCTGCATGAAAATTAAGCATGCATAGCCTGCTAGAGTCACAGCATACATTAGTAAGGTTGGCTGTTAAACAGAATATTGTGGCTCGTGGACTCTCATGTTGCTGGTTTTACACACTTCCTTTCACTGGAGGTTAAGTGGTACTTAGCTCAGATCTCAAGACAGGAGCCCTTTCTTGGGTTTCATCTTGTGCTATAATGATTTTATTAACATGCTCTGATCTTCACAGATACCATGTGCCTTTGGATGAGATAGTGATTGCAGATGCAGAGGGATCTGATCTACAGAATGAGGATTTCAGCAAAGTTACAGTGCTCAGTGTGGAGGTATTCTTAAAAACTACAAATGTTGTTTTAGTATCCATTGTAGTTCATGTGAAAATTATTGTAGCAAAATTTGTGTATTGTGGTGTTGTGTGTGCTTAACAGCACTGTTTTAAGTGTTCTGTACAATCTGATAATTTGTTTTCAGAATATATAAAAACCAAATTGACAAAACGACACCATCTTAAAATTAATATTTTATAAGACTTGTGAAATAAAGAGTATAATGCACATTTCTTTTGGGATTCCCGTGCACCGCAATTAGATTTTCCTTTAGGTTTTACTATTTTTTTGTGAATCTCTGTAACATGGAGACCAGATAAATGACTCATCCTGTATTTGTACGTTGGCTGAGGATTTAGTAAGAAGACACAAGTACTGAAATAAAAACTAAATTCTAGGTCTAGCACTTTATACCACTAAAGACCCCCACAAAAGAGATTATCTTGTGGATATCTACTCATATTTTTGGTAGCACTGATAAAAGGAAAGGAACATTTCACACAGGAGACAAACGTTCAGGGTAGATATGCAGTAGTACTAATTGATGTAATGTTTTTTTTCTCAGTCTCTGATGTTGCCCTTTGAATTGGACTATAAAACTCTTCAGCAGAAAAGCAGTGCCCTGCCCATCAGGGAGCTTTGTGATTCATTAAGAATTTCTCCTGAGTCTTTAGTGGATGAAATGACGTGTCTAGAAACACTCACGCCAGGTGGGTATCCAGTTGCACATTGTTAATCCTGTTTAATAATTAATTAATAAAACTGTATGTTAATACAGTTAAATTAAAATGTGTAGAAACATATTTATAGACATGTTTTTGATTTTCTTTTTACACATATTTTGGTTTATTGACCACATCATGTGTTCTGGAATATGTACAAAAAAGCTTGATATATGTAGTGGTAAGTAGTTCCTAATTTGCTTTCTGTGACTGACCAGATTTATCAATACATTAATTCCTGGGCTGTATTGGGAGCAACCCCTTGTAGTTCACAAACATTTTTTTCTGTCTTAGCGTTAAAAAAACCTGTTGTAAGCCTTACTACCTTCTTCCATAAAGAGATGGCTGATCTTGTCCACAACATGTATAAATGTGTTACAGCCTTGTTAAAACATTAAGGACAGAAGTACAAGGTATTAACCACACAGTAAAGCCAGCATTAATGTGTGAATTTAAGATAAGGTGGGCTGAGTTGTGCTGTGCAAATCTGGGAATTTGTTTAATTATTGTAGTATCTCTGTGTCTGCAAATATTCCATTAGTGATTAACATTAACACTTGGGACTATCTAAATGTTTGCTCTGCTGCTAAGGCTAAGTAGACCTTTAGGAATAGTCTTGCTTGATGCCCATGTATGGTCTTTCGGGTATCATAAACCTTAGCAGTCACTGAATTTACCATTCATCCATTTTCTAGTCACTTTATCCAGTACAGAGTTGCAAGGGAAGCTGGAGCCTAACCCAGCAAGCATCAGGCACAAGGTGGGATACTCTCTGGATAGGATGCCAGTCCTTCACTGTGCACAAACAGACACAGACACTCCCTCGTTCACACCAGCAGCCAGGGGAAACCCGCTCAAACTGGGGGAGAACATGCAAACTCCATGCAGACAGCACCCCAGGTCCAGAACTGATCCCAGGGCCCCAGTGCTGCAAGGCAGCAATGCTAACCGTTTAAAACGAAAGACACTAAGAACCAGAATGCAGTTAAAACACTAGGCTGAGCTGTGCTGTGAAGGTAAAACTGGTTGCCAGATAATATGGCAGCTTGTTTATTTATGAGGACAAAAATAATTTCATTTTTTATTCATATGGAAATTTTAAATACTGATTCGCTACTGTTGAGTGAAATACTGAAGAAAAATTGTAGAACTTGGAATGGAGGATACTGGGGATTGCTCACCTGAATGACAACTGATTCATTTGTTCAGTAAAAGAAAACTTCAGTTCTCAGCCCCTTTCTGAAAAAATAGAGAAACTTTTGCCCCAGAGTGAAAACAAAATGTAGAAAATCATCTTCTTAAGAGTGTTAATGATGTATTCACAGATTCACTGATTGACACTCGGATCCTAATATTGTACATTTGATGACATTCCTCCCTTTATTTGTTTATATTTTTATTAGATGTAAGTGCTGAATTCAGAAGTGCCTTAGAGGTATCGGAGTATGACGGATCCAGTGGGGCTGACTCTGTGGTTTTCATGGAAAGTACTGTGAGCACGCTGGGGGACACCACACCAGGTATGGGATCTATTCTCTCAGCTTCAGATAACGCCTTGTTTTGTTTAGAGTTTAAAATTACTAAACATTTTAAGTATACATTTGGTTAAGAAAACAGTCATTTGTCATAGAACTGTTGTTCAAAGTGGTTCACTCAAGGCAGGCAAATGATCCTGCCTTGTGCAAATCTTCAGCGGCATATAAATTAACCCTCTTCACTGAGCGTTCATGAAAACAAGTTTGAAGTCAGTTGGTAGTTCCGTACCGCCACCAGAAAAATAATTACAGATGCATGAAATTAAAGCATATGAAGGTGCACAAATATCTCAATCTCAATCTTAATATCTGTGCAAATGCGCAGATCGTGTCATGATCCTGTAGATCAGATATTTCAACAGCATAAATGCATAGGCATGTCTTTCCACAGTCTGTCGATAAGGCTTCTCGGAACAGCGTAAAGTTTCTACCCAGTGGTCAGTGTTTTGTTGACAAGATGATCATTCTTGTTTTCTTCGCAGCGTTGGCACGAAAGCCAGCCAGATTAACCACACACCTCCTTTGTTTGAAAGAAAACAAAATGTTTCGTGATATTTTCTGATCTGAGATGTTTGTACTCAGATCAATTACTTTTTTCACTTTTTTCTGTGTAAGTAGGATCTCTGCACAATTTAGAGCATGACCACAGTATCCTGTAAAAACAGTGGAAAAAGGGCAAAGACAAAAAAAAACAGGTGATATTCCCATCTGTCATTCACTAGTACTTCAGCAGTTTTGCTAGCTTCCTCTGATACAGACCATGCAGAGTTGTGGAACTATGATGCTCCAAAGAAAAACAAGTATGAAAGTTTTGTCTTTATGGTAACATATTGTAATATTTTCAGGTATTTACAGTATATTATAATATTGTAAGATGACCAAACTTCATTAAACTAAGAGTAGCTTTGGAACTTTGTATAAACTATGAAATACTTGCCCCCAGATGTCTAGATCAGGAATAATTATATGCTTTTTGGGGTAACAACAATACCAAACATGCTTCCACAGCTTAACCCAACCCTTCCCTTTGATTAGAATGCAAAGGAACTAGTTTATTATATGCTAAAAGGAAAAGAAATGAGACACAAGATTTGGCTGTGGAGCCTTCTCCAGATGTCAGCTGTCCAGTTCTAAACAAATTTTCCCAATCAAAAGCTTACTTCTGTCATGTACAACAACAGAGTGTTCTAACAGAATAACCTCAAGCAGCCAAACATTATAGACTCTTCACAGCAGGATGTGGTTCAGCCTTTATCAACCTTTATCTGCACATATTCAGGGCCTGCTAGTGGTTTTTTTTTGGTGTTTCAAAACTACGGTTTGCTCTCAGTCAACGAGAGAATGCATGGTAGACTAAGGAATACAGAAGTGAGAACCATTGCAACCATAACAGGATTAAAAATTGTATACACCAGATGTAGGGCAGTAAAGAATAAAAATGACACAAAATTAAAAGTTACAGTATACAGTTAAGATTAAAATGTGTATATTATCACTAAACATCTTTCAATATCTAAAGACCAGCTTTTTAAATTTAATGATTTTTCATACTAAATCATAATATGGTATTCGGGAAGTAGATTCTTCTTTCAGGTTCACTAGCAGCTTTGATTTCTACCAGTGCTGTGGTTTATGATATAGATTATTGAAGACGGCCACCTACTGGTGAACCCTGGAAATCATATCTGTGGCTGCACCAGGTTCAAGTGCAGTGCTGACATGCAGGTTACAGTAACATAAACTCTAAATAGAAAACAGCAAACACTGATCTTCAGCGTGGAAATGCCATTATAAAGACAAACAGAATAACGGTTCAGTGTATAGCTTTGCATCGGTAAGAGCTCAATTACATTATGGTGTGCAGTTTCGGTCACCATGCAACACGAAATTGCTGCTCTGGAACTGGTCCAAAGGAAAACACCTATTTACATTCCCATGCTTAAAAGAATGCCCCACAAAGACAGGAAGAAAGAACTGAATCTTTTAAGTGCTGAACAGAGAGGAAAATGTGGGGATCTGATGAAATATTCAGAATACTCAAAGCCATTGGCAGAGTGAATGAAGTGAAATTATTCGGGATCAGCTGTGAAACACGAAGCAGAAGACACAAGTGCAAACTACATTCTATACTTAGAACAGGAGACACACTTTAAAGCAAAGGGAACAAACTACCCAGCCACGTTATTGAGGCTGATGCCCTGGTGTCTGTCTTTCAAGGAAACAGGTGGATGAGTTTCTCAGATTAATTAGCTGCTAGGAACCAAAGAAGCTAGATGGGCCCAATGGCCTCTTCTTGTTTGTAACGTTTCTCGTGTTCATATGTATTGAACTATGAGCAGAGTGGCCCTTGTCCTTCTGCCTCCTACATACTCTGTCCCGCACACACAGCATAGTATGTGACTGTACAGACAGCAGACATGGATGCATGCAGCATCTTAAACTCAAGTTTTGAAGAACTATATATATATAAAATATTCTATATGAAATAAGCACATGTGAATTAAGTGGTTGAAAGCGGACAGTTACAACTGCAAATGAAGGTGAAAACTACCGCTTACCAGAACAAAAAAAGAAACGAGGAACTGCATTTTTTATCTCATGATCCTGTTACACTGATGCCTTTTGTTCTAAATGGGAAATTTTAAGAATATTGAAAATGAGGAGATATGAGGATTTATGTTTAAGTAAATCTCGTTCCAGTTTTGTTGCTGTGATTTCTGTTAGAACTGTATTTGTTCATGTATATTCAATTTAAAGTGAAGGAAATGCACTTTCTCTTAAGAACTGGGTGAAACTCCAGTAAATAGTCTGGAGTCGTGTTTGTGTGTAAAAGCAATTTAACAACCCATCTCTCCTTGGTGAATTTGATGTGCGTACTGTATATGAGCAGATCTTCATGTGAAATACTGTATATTAGGAATGGGACAGATCTAGCAAAATATAAATAAAACTTAGTAGTACCGGGCGGCAAGTTGGTGCAGTGGTTTAGGATTGGTGCCTCATAGTGCAGAGGCATTGTGTTAGATTCTGGAACTGGGTTGCTCTCTGTGTAGAGTTTGTATGTTCTCCCTGTGTTTGCATGGGTTCCTCCCACAATCCAAATAATATTTGTAGACATATTTATCATATGCTTCTGGGAAAATTGTCCCTAGATGTGAGTGTGTGTGTCTTTGTGTCTGTGTCTGCCCTGCGATGGTTAGCACAGTGTTTTCCAGTTACAAAGACTTAGTAATGCAGTTCCTCATTGTTGTCTACAACGCGCTCTGCAGGACTGAGCTTGTAAAATAACTGTTTATTTACATTCTCTTCTTGATGTGAGTTTGTTTCTGAAAACCAGAACTACAGGCTTGGTCAGGACACTCATGGATAAGTGCCTAACAAATTCAATAGATAACATATACCACACACTCACCTGCTAATCATTCCAATCAAGCTACCAAAACAAAACAGATTTTAGTCTTTTAAGTAATCAAAATTGCAGATACTGGTTAATTATAAGATGCCACATAATAATGAGGAAAACTCCTCATTAAACTCTAAAACTCCTGTCTGTTCCACAGCATTCTGCAGTTACAAAACCAACAATGTGTAAAGAACAAAAAAAAAAGAATCGATGTGTTACTCAGTGCAGAAAACACGATAAAGAATACATCAAGGTTTCTTTTGACTGAGTTATTTTCTGTTCGGATATCTCGTTTAGTAAATGTGTATCCGGTATTAATTTATTCCTTGTAAATATTTATTCTGTTCACCTTGTTCAATTTGTATGCTGTGATTTTTTTGGGCAACTGTACAGTATAACATTTGATACACTACTAAGGTAAGGGGTATCACAGCATTATGGGCCAATAACCAGTGCTGGTATAACCATATATCATATAATCTTATAACCATTTAATTACACAATCCTCTGATCATTCTTACTGAAGAAACACTGTCCTGTTCATTAGGTATCCTGAGGACTTGACCCATATTTGAGCTTTAAGTTATGTAGGTTATTATTGCCGATTCAAAGGGGTTAGCAAAGGCAAATGTATTTTGAATAAAATATTGCATTTCTTTCCCGCTTGCTATTTGTTTTGTAAAAAATGAGAAACTGAGAGTTTGTGTTTTAAGGATTTCTTCATTTTGAAGCGAAACAAGTCTTTGGTAAGAAGGGGAATCTTACAGGACCTTAATGTGTGTACAATGTGTGTTTTATAATGACGAACTGCTTCTCGTTGTCAGGTGATCTTTTGCTATTCGTTAGTGGTTGATATATTGATCGGTTCATTGAAGGGGCTTGAATGTCATCTTAAGGTTCCAGTCTGATGTTGTTAAAACTGTAACAGGTGAGTGTCGCCGACAATGCGCTGTCTTTTCAGTGCGCTCCAGGCTGTACACACAGATGGAAACAGACCCTCCTCTTTCACCCGTGTGCCAGACCCCCCAGCCTGCAGCCCGAGGGTCCTGCAGGGAGCTCACAGCAGAGCAGCTGTCCCCAATCTATAGACAGTAAGGAGTGCTCCCACTTAGCTCTCAGTAATAGGGTAGGAGCAGCCTGTATACTGTATGAGCCACCCATAACCAGCTAGCACCATTCATTAGTTTACTTTTGCAGTCATTCCCTTCCAAATTTCCAAGCTTCCTCTTGGAAAAAAACACCCCTCTTTTTTGTGATTTTCTTGATGTTTCTCCTTGTGTGTTGTTGTCATTCACTGCTGCAAAAAAAAGAAACATCTTATATCTGTGAAGCAAGGTCATAGTGTTCAATGGATTTAATTTTGTTTACTCAAAAAAGTCAACAGTAAAAACTCAAAAATCAGCATTATAGTATCATCTTTGATATCCAGCACCCTTCAAAAGTATCGGGACAGCACCATCAAAACTGTTGGTTTTGCCTCACGGTCAAACAGTTTATATATGTGATGATATTATTGTGAAACATATGATACGTGCTTGTTTTTATTAATTGCATGCATGCATTTTACCATATTAGAACACTGGGAGTTTAACTCTGTGAACTCACGTGATCATATGTATTAGGGAAACATTCACCTTCAGTACGTTCCATAGTGTAAAAGTCTGTGTTTGGTTGTACTGTATTTTCCTTTTTGGCAATAACTGCCTGAAGTCTGCCACAAAATGAGCTCTATAAACTCTTTGTGTAATCACTTCAGAAGCTTTTCCACACCTCTTTAGTTGCTTGCTCATTCCTGAGGTGTTGTAAACTCAGTTTTTTCTTCAGGCTGTAAAATACATACTCAATCGGTATGCTGCAATTTTTAACTTTTTTTCTGAGGACCTCCTTGATTGCATTGGCCAAGTCTTTGCCTGCTGCATTTTCTCCTATAGTAGCAGACACAATGTTCCTGCAAGCTTTGGGATGTACTCTACTGTGCTGCAGCCATGAGTAGTTATACCATCGATAAAGGTGCAGAGACAGCACAGTCGGAGAGAGCTGCACAGGAAGAGTTATTTCATTTGAGATGTGTTTGTGGTGTAAGAAAAGGCTTGTGTTGTGTTGTGTTTCAGTCACCTGATTTCGGACAGTGACAGAGAGGGGATAGAAGGAGTGCTGTGGCAGGCAGAGAAACATATCTCTTCTCTCATAGGGCTCCTTCTGGCAGGTAATCAGACATCAGCAAGACTGAGATGCAGATAGAGGCCACTGAGCTCAGAGCTTTAACTGTCAAAGAGTATCTCGGTATCTCGGCAAATGTTCCTGTGATGGCAAGTGCAGGCAGACCAATACTACTTTAGAGTGATTTTCTCATATTCCACCTTCATGTTTAAAACATAAGATATAATTAAACACAAGAGAAATCTTATACTCATAAGAGATTCCTTGCACTTCGTAACTTTTTTTTTCACAATTTTGTCTGCTAGTAACTCAGAATGAGAAAATGGGTTTGTGACTTAATGTGAATAAAAAAGTTATCTGCGCATTTTTAAGTTAATGTATAATCAAGGCTGTGGTTTTCTACCTGTACAGGCTGATATTGATCAAACTAAATGCTGTAATAAGAGAGACTCAAACACCATTAGCTTTTGTGAGTGCTGTCATTGTTCCCATAATATAATTTAGAAATTATATGTTAGACACTATTGATAGATTTGATTGATAGGATTAGCCTCCCCTCAAAAGTTGTCAAGTTAGTTATTTATGTTCATCCTTCACAGAAACTTCTGTTCTGCTAGTGATGAAGCTTGAGTAGTTTTTTACTAAAATGTGGCATCTTAAATCATGTCTTTGAGCTCTGTGTCCAACCTCATTCATATGTAATATATATTGCACAGATGTGATGTCTCTCAGGCATTTCAGTTCAATTGTACAGTTAAACATCTACATTCACTGCTTTGCATGAGTACATGTAACATGCTATATTTTAGAGCACGTTTCATGTTTCAAGAACCACAGACTCCTGAGCCAGAACTACAGTACCGGATTGCTGCAGAAACCTTTGGGCTAATAGCAGCTGAGACAGACTGCTCCATTAATGAGGAACTAAGAAGAGATGATCATAAACAACTCACTTTGAATGTGGGCCAGTCAAGATTTGTGGAGAATCTGGGCACCACTTCATATGATACAACAGAGAAGTCAACATCAACAAGCGAAGATTTCTCCTTATTATCCATGATAGAAATAGACAGTAAGTCAAAACCTAGACTAGAGATTTGACTTCAGTTTTTGTTGTCTGTGTAGCTGCAAAATGCAACTCTTCATTAATTAGACCTGTGCTGCTAATGTTTACACCAGATTTCACAGGAAAAACAGAATTGTAAACTGTTGCAAAACTGATTTTCTTTCTTTCTGAATGATAGAACTTGTGCATATATTGTACTTGATAAATGTTACTATTTTGTTTGTAGATATTAACTTTTTAACCCAATGAGATTCTCATACTGTAGATATTTTTCTGTTTTAATTCTTAACATGGCCTGTGTTTGTCTCATAATAACTGTGATATTAATTTGTCAAATCTGTATCATAATCGTATACTGTAAGTTACACTATCAGTATATATAGGTTATTAGCAACATCTTCCTTTGAATTGAAGTTTTATTTTTAACAACTTTACTTAACAATTTGTGTATTTGTTTTTTGTTAGATATTTTAAAGGACTGTAGCAATGAGACAGGTGAGGATTGCATGTTTCTTAGTGTTGTATTATATTATATAATATTATTTGTATTATTTACTCTAAAACCAGGCCTGTTTTTGACAATACGGATGCTTTTAAATAATACCTAATACACTTAGGTGCTTTATTGCAAATCCGCTGCATAATTTGGGATGGTTTCTGTTATGTATAAGCCCTCTTTGTGGAGTCACTGGTATTTTATTGACCTTTGGATTATTGACTTATTATTCTCCGATCTCACCCACTGTGTGCTGTCTTTCAAAGTCATCATTGGTCTCATTGTCTAATTTCTTTAACTAGTTTCCTCAGTTTGGAGTGGCATTCTGATCTAAGCAGTATTTGGGTGCTTTCCACTTCTTAATGATCAACCTCATCATGCTCAAAGAGATACTAGGGGTCTTTGAAATGCATTTCTACCCTTTTCCTGATCTGTGCTTTTATATAACTTTTCCCCTAAGTTATTTTGACAGCTCTCAGTCTTTATGGTTGAAGTATGGAGTGAACCACTGCACGCTGGGGTCACTGAGCTAATTGTGTGGCTTGTTAGAAAACATTTGGTGCAACTAGAGAAATCGACAGTAGTTTTGTTACAACAAAAGTTATGACTTTTGCAGGCATGACCTTTTCCTTTTTATTTATATTATCTGTATACTTCTTTCTTTTTTGTTTTGAATGTGTGGAGTAGGTTATGTATAACAAATATTAACTGCAACTTCAAAATGTTGTAATTGCGAGCTTTAAAGCAACAAAATGTGAAAACAAGGGTCTGAGTTTTGTAGTTTTGCAAGGAAGTGTATGTGTTTTGAATAACTTGGACAAACTTTTTAAATTATTTCTCTTGTCACAATTTCAGAATGCCCTGTGGCTGCTGTCACACACAGTGAAACGAAAGTCAGGTCCATTTTGAAAGACTCGAATCAGAAGCACATGACACCTGAGAAAGACAAAGGACGAACCCTAAAAGTATCAATCACTGAGGCAGCAATTGATAAGCCAAGTCAAAAAAGAGAACTTGCATCATCAGAAAGGTGTGAGCCAAGCAAAATGGCTTTATCCTTACAAGAAAGCAATAGTGATCATTGTGCATATGCACAGCATACAGGTGACCATAAATTCTTCTCTAAGGATGCAAAAGACTCTTGCAACAGTGGAACGGCCTCAAAATCACAACAGGAGAATTTGGATCCTCTTGCAACCTTTATAATGCTGAGGTCCAAGCAGTTGCCTGAAGGGACTTCTGCTGTGCACAGCACACAGTGCAAAAGCCAGAACAACACAGGTATGTGGAATGAGAATAAGAAGAAAAGAGCAACATCCAAAGAGAAAGAGAATGGGCAATGTGAGAAGGCCACAGGGCTTTCGAATGAAATTAAGTACAAGGGAGGGATGTGAATCTCTTCCTTTTTTAGCAACTAACGTTTCATGAGTGTTATGCCTAACTTTGTTCTTTCTTGATTTCATTTCTTCATAGGAAGTATTTGAGCAATTGAGTAGAAAACCATGAGCTCATGGACATGCTTGCTTTTGTGATTACTTGCAAATGATTCTAGAAAAAACTAAACAGAAAATTATGTGCTGTAAATCAAGATCAGTCTCCAAGTTATTTTGTTGTACTTCTGAATCTACATCAGTACCATGAAATTTGTCCTAAAGTGTTGTCTGCCTGCTAAGTACAGTATTATATCATTAATTAGCAGAATGATCAGGATTTTTTTTCCATTTAATTCACCAGGGATAAAGATGTTATTTGATGTAAATCACAGTTAATGGGATTCATTTCCAGTTTATATGAGAAAACTTATTTGAGCTAACCAATTAGTAAGATATTTTATAAAAGACTCATTTTTGAAAGTTGTGATGTGGTTTTAATATAAACGAGACAGGTGTTGTCCATATGAGTAATTCTCATGGTGTTATCCATTTTGTTCAGGATATGATAGGCATCATCAGTGGGTTCTTTTAAAAAGGGTTTATGTACCGTTATCTGATCATATATTTAGTGTTTGTGTATTACGCTCAGTTACTTGTGGATGAGGTCTTATCGTTCAGGCCTGAGGAGATGAGATGTTTGTACATCTACTGCAAAGTGTGCGGCAGAGGCACCTATCACAGCCATGCAGTAGAGGCTTAAGCAGCCAGCAGCCATATCACCCTGCAACTCACAACTGGCAACCCACTGAAGCTAAGCAGGTGTGAGCCTGGTCAGTACCTGGATGGGAGACCTCCTGGGAAAAACTAAGGTTGCTGCTGGAAGAGGTGTTAGTGGGGCCAGCAGGGGGTGCTCACCCTGCAGTCTATGTGGGTCTTAATGCCCCAGTATAGTGACAGGGACACTATACTGTAAACAGGCGCTGTCCTTCAGATGAGACGTAAAACCGAGGTCCTGACTCTCTGTGGTCATTAAAAATCCCAGGGCGTCTCTCGAAAAGAGTAGGGGTGTAACCCCGGTGTCCTGGCCAAATTTCCCATTGGCCCTTACCAATCATGGCCTCCTAATAATCCCCCTCTATGAATTGACTCTGCTCTCCTCCCCACTGATAGTTGATGTGTGGGGAGCGTTCTGGCGCACTATGGCTGCCGTCGCATCATCCAGGTGGATGCTGCACATTGGTGGTGGTGGAGGGGAGTCCAGTGGAGTGTCCAGAAAAGCGCTATATAAGTGTAAGCAATTATTATTATTAAGCTGTAGGATGTCTGTCTTTCAGCACCCAAGGTGGAGGTGAAGCCTCTCTGTGCTGCACCAGCAGATTCAAGCAGCGATGAGAAAACCAGACACAGTGCGGTGATCGAAATCCAAGCATCAGGTGTCTTATTTGAACAAAAAGACAGAGGAATTTTAATTTCAGTCTGAATGACCGTTTTATTGATGTAATTGTAATTAATGGCAAAATTAAACACTTGGGTTTGTTTCAATTAGGCTCTTCAGAGTTTGTGAAGAATTTTCACCTTTTATCATGACAGTAATCTCAAATTCATGCTCTGGTCTAAGGAAGTAGTTAAAAAAATAATGTTACAGAGCAAGAAACAAAAATAAAAAAGTGTATCAGATAGGTGTTTTACTGTATATGTTAGAGGGGATTAATAGTTGAATCAGTAGGATTAATAATAAATACTTTACTTTTTTCAACATGAAAAAGATAAACTGCATTGTGCACACTGGCTCATATGAGTAAAGTGTACTGTTTTATTGTGTATCGTAGATATTATTATCAACATCCTAAATCCAAATAATAATCAGTATGTTTACCTTATTTATCTGAGACATCTTAGACATGATTCTTCTAAGTTTGTTATGAACAACTTTGGCTGTTATTAACAGTTTATTTTGGGTGAGTATAAACCAAGCTTGTGATTTTGCAATTTAATTTTCATTGAATAGAATCTTCAAAATCTTGATGACAACTCAAAGTAAACTATACATGAGAAGCAAATATGAAGTGTTTTAGTAGATAATCTATCACATTTACCAATTAAATCTTGTTGATTCATTGTCAGATGTGTCTTGTTATTTACATTGTTGGTTACTCTACATATCTATAAATCTAAAAGGTTATTTTTTTGTTAAGTATAAAAGTGCACTTTATACAGTATGACTTCTTGCATATGTTAAAATGTATAACATCATAATGTAATCACAAAAATATTATTTATATCATTTTTTAATTAATACATTGGAGAAAAGTATGTCATGGCTAAACCTGCAATAATCTTTTGTTAATAAAAATAATTCCAGCCAATTCATTAATATGTTGTCTTACTAAGTGGTTCATCTCTGGCTATTGCAATCTATGATCAGTCACGGGATAGTGTATCTGGAGTCAAACCAGCATGGCTCACCCTTGTAAAAGTATTGTGACCTTCCTTCATTGTACAAATTCACATTGTCACCTTCTTTCTGTGCCTGTAGAGAGCCAGTGTCAGGCGTATTGTCAGCTTCAAGATGTGGCCTCAACTTTCATCTCCAGTGCTAAAGAACTGGGCATGTGTACAGCTGCCCGTGGCAGTTTTTCCACTCTGACTTCTGACCAAACACGCTTCTTTCTGAAGCAGCAGGAGAAAGTGCTCAACAGCAGCCTAAAACAAGGTTATGGTTACTGAGAGTGTATCTTTAAATATGGTATTCATGTTTTTTTAATTTCAGAATGCACAAGAATTATAAAAACACTTCATGTTTATGTTTGAATTTTGCATCTTTAACTCTGTTAATTGGACACTACCACAGTGCTCTGTAACTTAGCCAGTTACATACTGTAGAGTAGAGAGGCATTAAGTACAAATAAACTCCTGCCTATAGTACAGAAAAGGCCTATTCAGAGAATTTAACTCTGCACCCTAAGTACTTTTGCAACTGTTTAGCAAACCATTGTGATACAATTAATACTGTTTCCTGTCTGGAAACAAACATGTAAATCATAAGAATAGAACCTAACTTGTGAAGATATGCAAGCAATCAGTAATGCAATTATAAGAAGAACCGTTTTAAAATTAACTTGAGGTAGAATTATTTTTCTTTTGAAAGAGGCCTTGATGATAAAAGTACAGTGTAATATTTGGATGTACAGTGCCAGGTAAAAGTATTTAATGATGTAAACGCATTTAAAAAAAAATAGTTTTAGTCAAAAGCTTAATGCTTAAATAGAACACTTTTCTGATTATGATTTAATTTTCCATAAGCACAAAAGGCAGGGGAAATGTAGTTCAGTTTGTAAGTGATGGCGAAGGATGACAGAGATGTCTGTCTTGTAGGTGAACCCAGCGAGACGGATGTGTCCCTGTACAAGCAGGCTGCTCTGGTACACTTGCTGGTGACTGTGAGAGACCTTCTGCTCATGTGTGATCTCAACACAGCTGTGGGTCAGTAATAGAAATGATGTGTAATCTGAGGGAGCACAGTCCCCTGCATAATTTATAGACATCAGTTAACCTACAGTAGCCAGTATATGCATGGGAGGTGAGAGAAAAGAGAGAGAGCATGTGATTAAAAATCCATATGGACACAGGGAGAACATCTTCACACAGAAATAATTCCAATCCAGAACCACAATCTGGACCCAAGAGCTGTGCGGCACCTTCATGCTACAGTGCCAGTTCAAGTGTGACTCCTAAGGCTGCTAAAAAAAAAAAATGCGAATTAGGTCTCAAAGTTATTTTAGTCTCAACACTTATGCCTTAAGTTATTTCACAACGTAAAGAAAAATGTGAAAGATTCAGTAAGTGAATACTTAGAAACGTTTTGTTTAAAATGTGTGAAATCTAAATTATAAGTAATCTTCTCTTTGCAACCCGGTTGTTATTTATTTGCTAATTAAAATCATGCTGCTTGTGAGCAGATTTTGGGCTAACCTTCTAGTTCCAGTGAATTGCTTCTGTGGTGTGTCCACATTGAGAATTTGAGCTAAAATGGTAATTTGAGAAACAATAACTAAAAGAAGTCAGCTTGCAGAACGTTCATGAAAAGTTAGAAATGCAACATTTGTACTGCTTTAACATACCTTTAAGATTTAAAGGTTTTGAAGGGGTTAATGTGTCCCCTGTAATGTAGCACAGAAATATCCTGTTTGACAGATGAATTGCATTTATGGCTGCTATTTCAGAGACTGATCTGTTAGAATCAAACGTGTCCTAAAGAGTGAAGTGTTCCCCACATGATGTTTTAGATCATATGAATCTCACACATGCTCCCTCGCATGGCTTAGTGTCGGGTGATTCTAGATCAGATCACGGTTTGCCTGGCTGCTGAGGTTTCTGACGCACTGAATCACAAGGAGGCCCTGAAGGACTGATGCAGCTGAGTCATGCGGAGGGGATTCCTTGTGTCTCTTACACAAGCCTCTTCCACTCACACACCAGCTGGATACAGTCAAAAGTCAGACAGCACGCGTCAGACAGCATTCCCCCTGGCAGAAATAATATTTTATTTTTCATAGCATGTAGGTCTATTTGTTCAATTTTAAGAACACAAGAAATGCCATAAATGAGAGGGGCCATTTGGCTTGTTGTTTTTTTAGTAGCTAATTGATCCAAGGATTTCATCTAGCAATGTCTTAAAAGAAACCAGGAAATCAGCTTCCACAACATGGATGGGTGGCTTGTTCAAGACCCCCACAACCCTTGTTGTAAAACTCTTGTCAGTTTTAAATGCACAGTTTTCGTTTAAAACTGACAACCCCTAGTCCCCTAGTTTTTTTTTCCACTGTTGGTTCTGAACACATCCTTTAACTTTCTCAGTGCCTTTGTGCAGTTAGAATCCTTGTGTCTGGTGCTCGTTTAGTCTTCTCTGTTCAAAACTACAACCTGTCAGGTGAGACACTCATTCAGGCTCAAGAATGTATCTAGTCTCTCCTCTCTGACTCTCACTCTAGACCAACAATATCTTTTTTGGATCAAATTGTGATTAGAATTGTACACAGTATTCTAAATGAGAACTTACTAGTGTACTTTACAATTTTGACATAACCCTATCTACTGTATATATTCCAAAGTTCTCTGTGCCTGTGTCTTTTGTCTTGGTGGCAAGATGGTCTGGTGTTGTTAGGTTGCTGTCTCACAGTTATTTGGCCCTGGGTTTGACCCTGCTCTGCATTTTGGATTTTGCCCTGTTTTCACATGAGTTTTTGCAGTGTGTGCTGTCACCACCTAAAACTAATCGTGATTAGGTTGATTGATGTCTCTGTGCCTGTTTGTATGTAGGGCGAGCATGCACCATATATTCACATTTAGTTTTGGTGCATTGATTTACTGAAAAAAAAAAATCTTTTAACGAGTGTCTTGATCAACATGTTTAAAAAGCCTTTTCTTAAAATGTTTACAGACCAGAACAATCTATAAAAAGCCTGATGTTAAAATAAACATAAACAAAAAAAGAACTACATGCTATTTAAAAGGTAAAGCTAAACTCCATCTGTGTGTTGTTATTTGGGATTTGAAGCTCACAAAAAAGAAAAACTACATGCACAAGCCCTAAATTACTAATGGCACAGATCCCTGCCCAATAGGAATGGCTCCAGGGATGTGGCCGCATGAAACAGAATAGGCCTATATTTTAACATCCAGGATGGATGTTAAAGAATATTTTAACATTCTTGGCTTTTGTTTCAAAATAAAACATCAAAACTTAAACTTACTTCACAATAGTAATGATCGACTTACTGTAACAAAAACTACATCAAACTCAAACTAATAAGATACACCCTTATATATGGCAAACACACTAATTGAACGAATGTACATTACAATGAATTATACAATTTGTAATTACACTTAAGTGAACTATATTTCATTTCTTTGAGGCCCTATTTGGTGGCCTCTGGTGGCATGTCAGCCGCTACTGCAGTACTTTCATAGACCTGTCTGCCTCCCTGAGAAAACTCAGTTGTTAGTGCATCTAAATTGTCTACATCCATCAAGTGGTCTAATTTTAAAATACTACTGTATCTTTCAAGTGAAATCTCCTCGGGTTAACACAGTTCCCACAAAGACTGCCTTTGCTGTTACAAGGCAAATTCATAGACAAATATATACTGTATGCAAATACAAATATATATTGGGCGGTGCGTTGGCACTGTGGCTAAGGATCTGTGCCTGTGGCTGGTAGAGGAATCCTACTCCGTTGAGCCCCTGAGCAAGGCCCTTAACCCCAACTGCTCCAGGGGTGCTGTACAATGGCTGACCCTGCGCTCTGACCCCAAGCTTCTCTCCCTGTCTGTGTCTCATGGAGAGCAAGCTGGGGTATGCGAAAAGACAAATTCCTAATGCAAGAAATTGTATACAGCTAATAAAGTGATCTTATCTTATATATAGGCTCAGCAATAGCAAAACAGAGCAAACATTCAGGGTATTGAGTAGCAGGTAGTCTGGGTTTTGTAGACAGGCCATGCAGTGAGCCCTAGTTGATAAAGAGATTTTCAGCAATTTCCCTGGATTATGTAGACATCTATTACAAAGATGTTGCTGGTGAAGCCTACGAGGGGCAGTATTGTTTCTTGATTTGGTCTGTGTCAATGAGCAATGGCAACATCATTTTGCAGACCTGTCAGAATGAATGCTTCATCCTCTGTAAAATGCGTAAAAAAAGGAACGTGTTGTACCTGCTTAATGATCTGGGCCGTGTGATCTTGAGGTCCTTTGGATGTTTTGCTACAGCCTGTCAAGTCAGGTGTTCAATAAATCTATCATTTAAAAGATAAAAAAATAATTACCAATTGCATACCCAGCTCTTCTGATTATCTGATTCTGATTAAGCTCCTGCACACATTGAGTGATTTTTTTCAAATAGAAGTTGCGCCTTTATTCCAGCAGGTGGGGACATCAGAACATTTAACATAACTCTTACCTGTCTGAACTGCAGTGTTTCGTTTATTTTCAAGGCAGTCTGAAGGAACTTTTTTAAGTTCAATCTAGTAGAGTACCAGAACTTTCACATTAGTTTAATATCCTTTTGGTATTCAAAATGTAGAAATCCTTTGCAAACATCGTCAGTGTATCCAATGTCATAAATAATTGTTAGAAATGTATGTAACATTGTAATATACACTATTCTCTGTGAATTTCTGCTCCTTTTGTCAAATGTTTTATCATATTACCATATATTGACTTGTTGCTCTTCTTGTTCTGTATTGTTTGTTGAGCAAAATGCCAGTTTGGCATTTCTAATTTTAACTCAGTTGAGCAAACAGGAAATTGGACATTCACATCACATGCCTTTAGGAGGTATTGTAGAACCTGCAAGCCATTGGGCAGACGGCACTGTACTGCTCAGATTTGGATTTCAGGTGCATGCATTCTCCAGATTGCCTTCCTTTGTTTGTGTTCACTACAGACTACCTAGTACATGCCAAGGAAACGTATGTAAGCACCCTTGGGACCTGCTTGGATGAAATCTGGTCGAGGCTGCGTGTGGTGCAGTACATCAGCCAGAAGAAAGAGGAAGCTAACCCCAAAATAGCAGAACTCCAGCAGCAGACGCTGGCATGGATACAGAGAAACAGCTCTCCGAACCAAAGCCCCAAAGTAGGATTCCATTACTCTTATCCCACGTCTAGTGAGCGAAAGCCTTTTCACAAACAAGCAGCAGAATGAAAGGGTGTTTCGACTGCTGCCTGTGGAACACAACAGGGTAATAGTAAACTGATGAATGTTTACTGTCACATGTTCCTGACATGCCACATTCTGTCACAAAATCAGTCTTAAACAGGTCCACGTTACTTCTGAAAATAACCTGGCACATTTCCTGCTTGGGGAGTGTACAGTTAAATTAAAATTGAAAGCTGTTGGAGTAGGTCAGCAGATGGTTTCATCTAGGCATTCCCAGTTCTGCATTTTGAAGAGGTCATGTTAGGTGTTTAGCGATGAAGACAGTAAGTCTAATTATGTCAGTCCTCTGTTCTTTGCATGATATGTGTTATATTGTCAGGGTAAAGGTCAGAATTCTCTCCTACTGTATGAGCTCTTACATTCAATAGCACATTGTTTGCAGGGGACACACATCGCATTCACACCTTGAAGGTAATGTTTCAACATTTTGGAGGATCCTGAAGCTGCTGTGTTATGTCCCTTATGAAATTTTGTCTTGGTAAATTCATAGGATTATCATAGGATGTGTGCACCTTTACCATGGTTTTACGGTGTTTATTATGTTTTCAACGTCTGAATCCTATGGTAAAATGATCATGGCAGACATTCATAAAAGGCTGTTTATAGAGAATGTTACTTACAGGATGTCACTTTTGCCAGATAGCCATCACTTTATGTAACCTTTTCTATCACTCAGATTTTGAAAAAAGTACACATTAGTACAAAAAATACACTCATTTTGAACAATAAAGAAAAGAAAAGTTGACATTGTCTAAAAAGCATATACAGTAGGGCCCCATAATGATTTTGTTATACTTTTGCTAAATACAATGTCTTATATTGCTGAAAGTCTGGATGTACTATTAAATTAGGAGCCTGGAAAGGCATTAGTAAGAGTGGTTTAATTTGCTTCCTCCCCACAGGTTCTTGTCATTATAAGGATGGATTCAGATTGTGTGAGGGCTCTACTTATTAAAAATCTCAATAAAGTTAAAGGTAAATAAAACAGCTCATAGCCTTAATATTTCAACCAAGTAAATGCTTGCATATTTTTCTAATGTTACCTTTAGTTTTAATAGGACTTTTATGAGACACATTTCACTTATAGTGTATATTGCAAATGTGCCTAGAAGAGAAAAGATACACTTGTTTTTACAGAATTTGAAAAAAAAAAACATTTGCTATGGGTTGAGTACTTGCTGGAACTCTATTTTTGTGCTTTTCTGTGGGCATATGCACAGTGTAACCACAACTAGCTGATTCATCCCTGAAACAATTTTGTGGTCTGTCCTATGATTAAGCATCCTGAATATTTTCATCGTTGTTTTTCTGGAACTCAGGTCTCTCCGCTGCAGCTGTGTTTCCTGAAGAAAAAAGCAGGCTGAACTGCAGAGTTGTGCTGAACTGGTCAGTTTTTTCATGGGCCTGAGGGTTTCAGTAGTGTTCTTACTGCATACTATGGTTTTCTAGTTAATTTATAAAAAAAATCCAATATTAAGGGATTCATCTAATGTACTACCTTCTCTGGTTTCTTTAAATAACATCTAAAGTGTCAGATTTCATGCGCATGTCTTGCCATCAAGCTGAGTCTGATTTCTTTAATGTTACGTCAGGTGGACCTGCTTTGGTCTGACAAAGTCCTTGGTAGACATTATTCTTCAATCATATGAGTGCAGCCTTCACCACACTGGGGAATTTCCAGAACCTTAATCCTGTGGTGCCAATTCAGTGACAGTCTTTGCCTCAAGAGGCTACTGGTATATATTGTGTTAGTGTACATGCAATATATCCCAAGAATCAGCATCACTTTAATTTCCATAAGTAAGCAGAGCTGCAGCTCATGAAGTCAGAATGTACTGTCTAAAACATTTGTGAGATTTTTTTTAACATTCTGGCTGTTTGGATGTCAGTCTCCAGCGAAGTTCATGTGTGGTAGCCTGCAGTCAGCACATCCACGCTGATTTCCCCTGGCAGCAGTTCTCCCTGGTGGTGGAGTATGACTACATGGACCACTCAGGCTGGACTGCACTCTGCAGAGAGAAGAACATCAGTCACATGGCTTTGAAAATTCAAATTCCCAGCACCGTCTCTACAAATGCAGGTACAACCAGGCAGGAAAAATGGCTGATCCTGTCACAGACTGGTTTTCAGTGGCTTTGACACGAACATTTCCTGAATACACAGATCTAATAATGTCCACACAAGTCATCTGCATTTTGATTTCAATCTCTGTAAAAATGTATGATTGTTTATTATTGGTGATATGCTTTTGAACTTAGATTAAAATTTTTTAAAAAAACTCCACCTTTCTATAAACCTCCACATTCACAGCAAAATTACTAGAAAATGTATAATGGTATAATCCCATACCATAACTGTATCTACAAAATCGATTTAATCCAACCAGGCTTAAAATAACAAATGTGTCAATTTAAACATATTTGTTTACTCTGAGAAAGAGAGAGAGACGTGAGATGTTGGTGCTTTGTCTTCGTTGTCTTTGTAAGTTTGTTTTTCATGTTTGGAAGTTTGCTTTCAAAGAGAGCTTTGTAAGAAAAAAAATGAAAAAGGATGTGCTGTAGCTAGTGTCCCTGAGGCACGTAGCCAGGTAGTCTGAGCTGTAATCTTCTAACAAGATGTCCTCGTGATGCCATAAATGGTCCAACAAGCCCTGGCCTAGAAAGACTAGGAAGACAGCTGGGAATGCAGATGTAGAAAGTGTCCTTCTCACTTGCTCATCTCAGTGACAATGAGCTGTCACATAAGTACAGTGTCATTTATTTCTCTGTGTGCGGCACCCCATGAAAAGTGTCCCAAAATGGCTCGTCCTCCCTGCTGCTGGATCTCGGGGTTCCTGTTGTGTTGCTGACCACCGAGGGGCTTTCAGACTCCCCAGAGCTGCTGCAAACCCTGGAGTCCAGGTCAGTCAGATTGCTCACCTGTCCCGGTTTCTGTGATGTACTGTAGATCTGCCAGGTCACTGCACCGCAGGTCAGTGTCCACCTGCTTGTCACATTGTGTCTGGAGGGCTTCACTTCTAAATCAGGTGGTTACACTCTGTGCGTGATTGTTACCAAGGATGATCTTTTAACATTTATGATTCACGAGTGATTTTTAAATCCCTTTGGTTGGTTTACAAAAGGAAGTCCTCGAATGCAACAGAGAGAGTGGCATGTTAGTCTGCTAATTTAATGAGTTAAAATTTCCTTCCTTGTATTTCCATTTTAAACCATATTTGCTGTACCTCCAGATACAATATCACTGTTGTGGAGAGAAGCTTTGTGCAGTCACTGCAGATGTTTGGAGGGCCTCATCAATACACAGTGATTACAGTTGATGAACGCACCGCACTTGTCATTCAGGTGACTGAAGCATTTGTTAATTTAATTCACAATCATATGATATTGCACTGTTAGTGCAAATTATACTCGAAAAACCAATGAACGGTGAAGGAAATAAATCATTTCTATTGATCAATTCCCTTTGCCTGCTGGAGGAGGGGTTATTTAAGTCCCTGTAAACTAGCAAAAGAATATGACTGCAATAGAGCTGCCTAAAATACTGTGGTTTTGTTGTTTTTTTTTAATTTACTATTTTGAAGGGAACAGATGCAGTTTACTAATCGTGCATGAAGAATCCTATAGATTTGGATTATAATGCTTTTTATATATGATTCTATGATGCAAAGGAATAAGTAATAGTTTTATTCCATACTGAAAAGAGAAGAAAGAAAACAACATTGGGGCTGTGGAGCCTTCTTCGGGTGCGAGGAACAAGTGTTCCTAACTGTTAAAAGGTAAAGGATTGAAGATGACTTATAAGAATGACTGGACCGAAGCTTTATTGGACGAGGCTTTAGGGTTTTAGGCCCTTGTTTCAGGGAGTGCTAAATTAGGAAAAGCTGAGTTCTTTCCCTTGTGTATGATTTTGTCAGTAAAGAAGGGAACTGGTGCCTAGCTGATGAAGATGCACAGATGGGATTGAAAGTCCTGTGTCTGCTGTCGATGTGTGTGGGCATTCTGTTGTTAGGACATTGGGGAGCTGAAGATGGACAAAGCCTCTGACCACATTGTCTTGAGACTGATGGCCCTGTCTCTGCAGTACAGCTGCTGCTGGCTTCTTTTCTACTCTTCACATGGCCTGGACTCAGAGTGAGTACTGTGCCCATGCATGTGCTACCGGAGGAAGGCTATCTGCCTTTGGGTTTTATTTTCACTCATTTCTACCTGGATAGCCTGTGACTCTAGAGTATGATTTCAATTTAGTCTGAGTAAAGTGCAGTATTTTTAAAATTCACATGGATTCTCAGCTTGTAATTGTAAAATTCACTTTTTGCCTTGCAAGGATCTGATCTAAAAAACGAATGTAGTTTAGTTTTTAGTATATTTAGGTGTACAGCATTAACATTCTAGTTGTATAGTATTTATGGTTGTTTGGTGTTTGGCGATGTTACCACCTTGTAGCCTGGTCTCGACCCTGCTCTCGATCTAAGCAAGGCTGGGCCTTGTCACTATTAGGAAGGTACCAATAAGGAAAGTTAGGTTGCTCCTGGAAGTGGCACAGGTGGACCAGTAGGTGGCACTCTTCCCCCTGGACAGGAAATTGTAAATCAAGTCCCCTGTCACCGCACTGTGCTATCAGAGCTCCCATCCTTAGAATGAGACCTTAAACCACTGTCCTTACAACTTGACCATTAAAGATCCCATTGCACTGTTTGTAAGAGCCTCACTGTGAGCTTCTACAATTAGGCCTTCCCAAAGTTCACTCTTAATTCACTTTCTCACTTGATCGGTAGAGTAGCAGTGCTGCCATATATCACCCAAGAGGATGAGCACTTCAGAGGCAGATTAAGTGGGTCCACTTGTATGTGTTAATTGCTTTGTGATCCTTTGGGATGAAAAATGCTATTTAAATGTATAATTATTATTATGGAAAATATTTTTTTCATAATAGTTAACGCTTTATATCGGAAACTCAGTAGTATTTATGTATGAGTCTAGAGTATTGTGAGAATGTGTCATCACTGTTTAACATTTTCAGAGCAGACAGACAGTATTGTTCTATTTTTAAGCTTTTAACCCTAAACACATTCTGAATAGCTTTAACAGTCTGCAACGTCTCATCTGTACAGCGTCAACAAACAATGTTTTGAAAGTATAATAAAGGCTGTTTCCTTTCATTGGAAGATCACTGGACTTACCCAGTTAGTGAAGTCCTTTGCATATCTGCAGTTGAGGGCAGTGAGGTGTGTTCAGTAATGCACTTGGGAAGAGGAATGCAATAGTGCCCACCTGTGTTCTCTCCAGGTACAGTTTCACCACAGAGGTCTTCAACAACCTGGTGCTGATCTATGCCGCTGTCGTACTGTTTGGGCTGAAGACAGAGGATTTGGAGATCAAGGTTAGACTTTCATCTCCTATCTTGCACATGTTTCTAAACAATACTGCGGGTCAGTGGACATTTTCATGGCAGCTGAAATATGTGTTGTGATTGCTTTGGACAGAAAATTCCATTGGAACTGATGTTTTGGAAAGAGCATTTCTGGATATGGTGTGCACTTTGCTTCATCAAACTGAATGTTTTTTTTATGAGAATGTAAACGCTCATAAGAAAGTAATTGCATATTATGTGTTTGTACATACCAGGATTTCGTTCATGCTGTATGTAATTTGGGGTTTGGAATTCAGCAGGATTTCCGTGTCTCTTTAAGTTATAAATGGTCCTTCGCCTGGAAGAAGGATAAAATTGAACCTGTTATTGTTTGGTTGCATCACATTATTCCTTCTCCGGAACCTTAAGCTGGTAATGCTTTAAAATAACAAAAAACACCTGCTGGATTCAAGGCCCAGAGGACCAGAGTTGGAACCCTTTGCTTAATTCCACAGTTAAAGGCCAGTTTATAATTGTACACACTTCCAGAACTTGTGGCATCTTTGCTGATGCTTGTATTGTGAGGGGAATGATTTTGATTCTTACTGGATTTTGAATAGAAGATTCTGGTCTTTATCTTCCTGCAGTCCAGACTGATGTATTGTTCTATGTAAAGCACCTCAGTGAAATATCCATGGCTAAGATAATAGATCTCTTCCTAAGACCAAAAAAATATTAAAAGTGGGAGTGACTGTTGGCAGGAAAAGCACATTTCTAAGATGCAGTCGGAAAATGTAGCTTCGTGCCAACAGATCTGTGGGTTCAAAAATGAAAGTGCTTTTCAAACCACAGGTGTTGGCAGTCTTTTTTTCACTTGCATTCTGTGACGTTGAAAGTAAGAATTGGACACACATCAAAGAAACATCTCAGTGTGACAGCACTGTTGAACTGAAGTGGTGCTATTGAATGCTGAATTTACTGTTATTTCATTCTTTTTCAATGATTTATATATCATAAATACGCAGACAGCAATCAACAGAGCATGACAACAATTCCGCGTAAGAACAGTACCATTGCAAAAGATGTCTGATTGGGAAACTAAAGGAAAAGGGATGAAAACAACAACAAAGAACAGACTTAAGTTGAACAGCTTAAACATCTACAGTTCCCTGTAAACTAATACTCTCTTCCCCTCATAATTCTTATTATTCTCTATTAGCTTTAACTATCTGTTGCACTTTTATTTACATATTTGTTGAACTAATCCAGTGCATTTTTGAAGGCAGGAAAGTCTTCAGGCTTCCAAATTAAGCATCTGGTAAGTTTCTGCAGTCTGGCCAAACAAATTTCCAGCCAAAATTTCTGAATTTGCAGAGATGCACAGAAACTGTGAGTCACTCACATTATCTTCTGGAATGCTGACGTTTTGAATGCTGATTTTTAGTCAGACATTCTGTCCTCTTTAACTTATGGCATAATCAAGCAGGTCTGAAGTAGCAGAGAGTGGCTAATTATTTAAAAAATGCTTTTATCTGCTTTTGAAATGTTTTCTGTTAATATGAAGCATTATTCCATACATTGTGGTAAGCTTCTAATTTTAGTTCAGATGTTCGGTCAAATTACCACAACACAGCAAATATTAAGAGATAACTTATTTATTACTTCAATGTTTGGCGTTAACTCGCCCAGCTGAGGAAATGACAACCCTGGTCTTAAGCTTAAGAACGTCAAAACTTTTCTCACTTGTGAGGAATGAGCCAGGGAGGCTGTTCAGAGTGTGAAGATAGGGTGAAGGGAATGGAGCTAAAAAAGATGCACGAAAAAGGCACTCAGCAGGCTGGTGTTTAAATGTAAGAAAAGAGAAGTGCAAGATTACCTTTTGACTTCCTCCCGAATGTCTGTATCCTTTCAGTGGCTTCATGTGAAATCACAACAGCAGCAGGTGTTTTACTGGAGATTTGTGTCCTTTCAGGTACTGATTGCACCTGGAGTTGAAAAGACAGCTATGCTGATTTGCCAGATAGCCAGTCACACCCTGATGTCATCCGAGATAGACCCGCTGAAATGGCTAGACAGGTCTTGGCTTTCTGTTGTGCCCACGGAGGTGAATGACAATATTTTGCTGGAAATGCTCATATTTCTAACTATCTGAGTCCCCTCATTCATTTAAACTTAGATAATGATAGGCAAATCCATCTCCAATCAGTTGAACACCCATTTATGGAATATAACCAATACTTGGAATGTAACAGCATATTTTAAAGAAAATATGTCAAATGCCACAGTATTCCTGAACAGGACATAGATGAACTAAAGCTGATATTGGGCGCTGATTCAAATTCACTACACCAGTAAAGTTTTTTTTAGTTCATTGGAAGGGTATAATAACAACTGAGGAGGCACAAAAGAGCAATAATATGGTTCAAAATGTAAATAACACTATAGGGAATAAATTGCCATTAACAACAGCAGCACCAGAAGGCTCTGAACTGACTAGTGTTCATCAAAGAGTGAACCCAAGTCAACGTGAACACAGATGGTGGTCACATTGATTCAGTGCAGCATCCTGGAAGCGCTTGTATGTATACAGGATTTCACTGGACCGTAGGACACATTTTTGCTACAGTATTTGAAGTGGACAAATTACTGTATGTAAAGTTTACAAAGTGACTTTCCTGATACACTGTGTATACATTGCTCTACCAGAATATTCAAGAATGATATATTCCATAAGAGTTGCCTACCTTGCCCAAAATACTGGGAATGGTCCGACATGTGGTATGGTATGTTCTCTGATTCCTGGGAGCAGGTATTTTCCTCTGCATGCTGCACTGCGGAAAAGAAGGTTGATGCACAGTCAGGGACCTCTCTGTGCTTACTTGCAGGCTGAGAGTAGCTTACTGGCGTTTCCCTGCATCAACCCACTGGTGGCGCAACTCATGCTGAGAAAGGCCCCATCCTTAGACTGGCTCCTGGGGGCCTCTTTCACTGAGCTGCAGGAGCTGCTCCCAGAAGTGCCCCACAAGGTCATCAAGGTACAGTAATTTCATATGGTCACAGCTCCACAAAAGGATAGCTGCTTAATCTGTTCCATCACCATTTACCCACCTTACTGCTGCGTTCATGCTTGTATCCACGTTTATTGACAGTCACATTAATGACTTTTTGGGGGGCAGAACTGATTTTGTAACTAGATATTTTCTAATCAATCTGTTTATTGTTGATGCTACAATCAGTATAGCCACTGTGTTTAGCTTTTTGAATATTTTGTCCATCAGGCGTGTGGAAAGTCGAGCCCTTGTTAATTTTGACTTCCTATGATTATTTTTATGAAAAGGAACATACTAGATTCCATTACTATAGTAGGTGTTTGTGAAGTGGGGCCACATTCTGGCTGACCTTCCTGCTGTTCAAGAAGAGAATATTAATGCAGTGGCTCCTGTTGATAAGGGTAACCTGGAATTTAAACTTTTTCCCATGTCTCACATAGTAGCAGTGAATAATAATATGAATAAAATATGAAATATAATACAGTCGCTATTATCCGACCTAAACGGGACTGATAGTATGTCCGATAATTGAAAATGTTGGATAATACAGAAACTGAGTAGGCAAATCATAGATTAACAGAAGCGCAGTATAAGTATGAAATCTGGTTTATTAATCTACTGCAATACTAAAACAACAGCCAGCGTCTTAGTAACATGCCATCAGTAGCAGTTGCCTCCTCTTGTTGTTCAACGTAAGGGAGTGCCGCTTCGAAAAGACAATAGGAAAAATAATAATGATGAGCGCGCAATCAGCAAGGGAGTTACATCAACGGCAGTACGCAACACATGGCGAGACAGAGCAGCATTGGATTGGGCAAGCTATTATGCACGCGCACGAAGAGTGTACAGTATGTACTGTACACCATGGTGATTGGCTGTGTCGGATAAAACAGAATGCTGGATAATCGAAGGTCGGATAATTGAGACTCTACTGTAATATGATAAATGACAAAGGAGATACCTCTTAAATTAGCATTCTTTTTCCCCCCATCTACACATATAGCTCTTCAGCGACACCACTGCTCTGTACAAGATGAACGTTTCTCATTCTCCTCTGGAATCCTGTGGGAAGGCCACTTCAAGGGAGTATTCACCCTGTTCAGGACCTAGGCCAGTCAGCAGAGAGGACACACAAGGCTGGATAGAGGTTTTAGAAAAAAATCAGGGCATGAATTCTGAGCACCATCCATTAAGTGGATCAGTCAGTGTAGAGAACATGGCAGTGTACCGCAAAGATCACGAGCCTTTTCCTGTTCCTGAAGAAACAGAAGGCACTGTACAGCTGGGTCATTTCAGAGACTTGTCTCATCCACCGCTGCATGTCCACAGTGCAGAAGGTCACTGGCAACTGGGACGCATTAAGGACAGTGATCTGACATCTATGGGAGAGTATTGTGGCGTACACTTCAATTCCAAGCCTGCCGGACATCATCATTCAAACTGGACATCAGGAAGACCAATACAGGCAGAGGCGTTTTCACCAGCCTATGACAAAGATCTGAGCTTCAATATGGGCCCTTCTATAGACTGTCAGTTTGAGAGAGAGGCTGTTGACTACTACTGTCACCAAAAATCCAATTCCCCTGGTGAAGTGTCTCAGTTTGGTGTGGGTTTCAACGAGGACCCTTGCCTGTTTACCTCAAGCGTCTCGGCAGGAATGCTGCAGGGGAGCAGCATCAGTCCCTTTGGCCACACCCCAAGAGTAATGGCGGACTCCGTGTTCAGTTTCATTAAGACAGGATATGAAACCGACGTAAGCGACAACTCAGACCTTCTGGGGCCACTCAGGAGTACATCCGACAAGAAGAGACGAGCAGGCAGAGCAGACGAGAAAGAGGCATTTTCAGGTACAGTAGGCCTGACCCTGTAAGTGTTAAATGTTGCGCCAAGAGCCAGGTGTTTTTAGTTGAATCTTCCCGGTAACAGCCCCTACTCCTGCTTGAGAGAATGAAATGCAATGTGCAGCTCGCCCACCTGCAGAGCCCTTCGTCATCTGACACCTTGCCAGCTGCGCATCGCCTGACAGGGGGTAAATTGTTGGACAGGCATCACTGCAAGTCTACAGGCACCTGGCCCATTGCAGGAGACAGTGATTGCCAAAAGGCTAAGAGCTCTGACCGACTCGTCGGGAGACCACCCCTGGAGTGAAATGTGTACTATTGCTGGGGAAATCCAGTTGAAGTCAACTAGTAACCCAGACCCACACTTGAAAAGCTGTAAGACGGGTTAACTACTATGAAAAGATGCTATATTTCTGGTTTGTTATATTAATCATTTGGATATAAAAGTGTAAAACTCCCTTCAACATAAAATATTTGGTCTACTTTAATAGTCAGATGCTGGAAATCTAGATCTCTTATACAACACCGTCTAGAATCATCCAGGATTGGAGGCTGTGTCAATGAAATAATTGAGATATTTAACAGCAGGCACTTCAAATGGACTTTTTTATGTAGCAGCTTTCATATATTTTCTCATCTTGTCTGTTCCAGAAGGATACACACTTTTACCACAGCCGAAGAGGAGGAAACTCACCTATGAAAAAGTTCCAGGAAGAATCGATGGTCAGACAAGATTAGCATTTTTTTAGAAATATTTAAGGCTTTTTTTCTAGTTTTAATTTGTTATTGTTCTTCCATTTAACCCCTCCTTTACCCAGAACACACTGCCACTTCCAGTTATTGAATTGTTTTATGTGTGAGCCCAGTTATGTTCATGGTATCTGTGTTAATGCATAGACTTCATTGTTAGAAGACACAGATGCAGTTTTTTAGGAATGGTGCTGAAATATGCTGGCTTGGTTCTTGAATGCAGAGCTGGAATTGATTTCTCTCTTTGTCAACACAATTCTCCACAGTCCTTTTAAATGAAGCACTTAGAATTAGTCAGAACTTCCTCTTAGGAGAGGAACTTAGGGGAATTTCCTGATGGCTCTCAGTGTTTTTGTTGCCTGTTGTTTTCTCTTGTTCAGGAAACTTCCCAGTCATGTTTCCAATGGTTATTTTAAGAGACATAAGTAAACTGGTAACAATCAAACCAAACCCTTTGTTTAACTGCAACTGAATAAATATGTATTACTTAAAACACCAAGCCTACGTTTTTTAAAACAGATTTTTGCCCTGCCCTTTCTTCTACATTGTCTCTATGGTAGAACTGTTATTACCCATCACTGACCAATACCAGAGCCAGTTAAAGTGTGGGGATGAAACAAGGGAACATTCTCCCAGATGCTTTTCATTCTTTTTAAGATCCAGAACACATGCATCTTCTTGTATCTGTGTAACTTCACATTCTTCCAGTTATACTGCACAGACAGTGAAACATAATCTGCACTCAAGAAATTAAAAAATGCAGTTTTTGCACTGGTTTAAAAAAACCCCCACTGAAAAATAAAGGAATGCTTGTAACGAAAGAGGCATAGAAATCATATTTTATTAACTTTTGTCACAAACCATATGTAAACGCAAAAGCTTCAACAAGGAGTTTTTAAACATTTAGGAATGTACACTGCAGACAGGAGTGCAGATTGCTGAAGTGTATAAAAAGCCCCTTGGCACAGAAAAGAGCTCAAGGCGATGAGTACGCGATGTAAGAGCACTTCCGTAATGAATAGAAAGCTCGTTCGGAATGACACCGTTCTGAAGCAGGGTTCTACCAGGCCAGTCCTGGAAAGCCTTCCACTTTTCTGATTTGATTCCAGCTGAGCTCTCAATGACCCCAATTAAGTCAGGTGCTTTAACAGGAGGGAGTAACATGCTTTTCCCATCCTTGCTCATTGACCCTGTCAGGATACCTATAAAACCTGGACCAAGGTTGTAGACCTGGACAGAGTTGTTTAGCTTGGATTTTTAATTTTAACATGCCTTTAATGTTTTTCTAAAGGGATGCGTTTGTGCTACATGTGAAGTATGGGTTACATGAGTGTTGCTTGCAAAGATGATGTTTTTCTAAAGAGCAATGTGTTTTCAGTTGCACTATCAATTTCACATTCATTTATGGCTTATGATTGTTTTACATAAGAAATCAAGTACTGTAAGTGGTGTGAAGAGTCTGTCCCGGGATGACTTACACTTTCCCTGACGCTCCTCGGCCCACTACACTGCAGGCCCACTGCAGATTCCTAACAATGGGGAGTATTAGTAGTTCTGCATTTTGAATGATTTGTCACGTGGTATTTCTTTAGGCTTTGGCCAATTCTGTTTTCCATTGAAAAACTAAGACTAAGACCTTAAGCAGAAGTTATAGCTGATGGTGACTGCTAATCCCCAAAGTCGTTTAACTCACAATTCAGTCCTGCAGTTTACTAGTGCATACAGTATATGGATGCACATCTATTTAAACAATTTTGGAATGAAACAACCAAAATGACAGACATGTCACAACCATGTTTATGGCTACTTACAATAAATCATCCTATATCGGGAGAAAACTGAATGAATGAAAATGCTTTTTCAAATTGGGAAAGTCTTTAATGAGGATGCAATGACTGCAACAACGAAAGGCATGTGATAGTAAACTTGGAAATGTGGAGCTCTTATTATCAAAAACGCATGCTGAACCAGTTACTTTTCATTTCACTGAATAGATTATATTACTCAATCAGTTCTAAATTCTGAGCATTAAAATTTGTTTTTGACATTTATGTTAGAACACTTTCACAAACTCAGCGATTTTGTCACCATTGTAAATACTTTAGATAACAGTAATGAGTTATGGTTGAGTGTTTCCTAAACTGCAATGATTTTAACAATTTTGTATTTTTCATTTTATATCCAAACAATTTGTTTTCACCAAATGTTTCTTTATGTCTCGCATCACAGCAATGACACCAGTACTTGCTGGAGAATGGTGATGGACAGGCTAGTTTTTTGTAAGAATCCAGGCACCAACAAAATGTTTGTAGTAAAACTTAATCGATTAAATTTGCAGGGCAATATTTAGGTAAGTTGTGCTGGTAGAGAAGCTACAAGACAATGTATTTCATAGGAATTCTTAGCACCAAGAATGTGTAAGAAGAGAGATGTTCGACTGGTGCATGTGCCCAATCATTCTTTTGAAAAACATGCAAGTTGTTATAGAACATTTCCCCATATTTACAAACGCAAATTATGGAGGTTTTTTACCATTGAATAAATCCTTTGCATTTCTGCAAAAAACTTTTTGTGAAATTAGAACCTTAGCTCACTATCAATACAGGCACATTAAAAACTGTGTAAACTGTAAACCTGTAAACAATGTGTAAATAACTGTATTAGGATCTGTATCACTGAATACTTGTGTTATTTCACTTGTTTTCTTGTAGAAAATATTACAAAATTAGCAAAAAGCATTTTAGAGATTAAAAAGATGCTAATAAATAAACAGGTCAGACTAGGAAAAGGATTTAACGGTAGTGGACTTTCTTCCATGTAAATGACAGGTGGCACTGATGGTCACATCACGCTTCTGCCCGAGACTTGGAATGTCCAAATGTCCTGAAAAACAAAGATCCTGCATTTACAGTTCTAGATCAGCTTTATCTGTGATGCAAACAACTTCACTGGTTTTAATTCAAAGACAAAACTGTCAGGAAGTAAAATTACAAACCATGGCAAATATAAAAACTAAATAATTTCTTTTTATCGGTGGAGCAGTGGTTAGGATGCCTGGTCGTGGGTGTCTGAACAGGACTCTGCCAAAAGCATCTCACCCAGACTGCTGGATAAATGAGTCTCCAGGGCTGGAATGAACCCAGACGACAAACACACGACTCTAACTATGACTAATGTATCGACAGAAATACTCCAGACCTCACAAACCTTTCACCTAGTGTACTGCTTAGCCATGAGTGTGTATTTAAGATATTTTAAATTTTGAGAAGGCGAGAATTTAGTCTCAGATTTAAGTCAAATTCTGTAGGAATGTATAATCTAAATAAAAAACACATGATGTTTCGTATAGATACACAGATACTGTAGATCACACAGATGCCAGCACCAGTGAGCACTGAGAAATGAATGTGGTCTGAGAGACCAAAATAATCCTTTGGACAAATATAATGACAACAAATTGTTCAAAAGGTTTCCTTGTCATCAATGCAGGATAAAAGAATTATCTGCTGAACTCTTAATTTACAACAGGGGTCTGACAGGCATTTCCCCTTCAGTTATACAAATCTCGCTATTTGCCAAGTGTTTGCAACTCGTGCTGTCCTTTTTAACCTTCACTAAAAGATCTTTCCACTTTTCTTAGTTCTTCCACTCATTTGTACTTATAAAACACTGATAGATCGAGTCTGCTAGTCTTGTCAACAAATGTGTTTGTGAACAAATTATTTTGTTTGGCAGTGAGAACAGCTTTATGTTTATAAAACTTGTGCATTTGGTTTCCGATTTCAGTGTCAGTAAATCGTTCACTTGTTGTTCCTTGGCATGAGGTTATTGTTACCAACACCGAGGACTTCACAGATGAAAGGGCTGTTTAGATTGACAACATATTCTGCATGTGTGCGCATACAGTACTAATTATGAGATCATGAGACAGGAATTTGACAGAAATAGATTGCAGAGAACAGTTTGAAAATAATAAGATGTTTAGTAATACATGTGGTTAAGAAATGTAGCTTCAAATTAAATAACTTTTTGAGTAGTTTAGAATACTTTTTTCCTGTTGACCTTCTGTGCACCAATACCAGTATCTAGTGCAGACAAATCCGGATCTCTCGGAGGTCTGTCATGTTAGTGAACATGTAACTTACACATTTTAAAGGAAAAATAAGGATAAAAAATAAACATCTACAGTTAAGCGAAAAGCCACGAGTGCTATTTATAACACTTTGTTGCACATAGCAATCCCTGGATTGTTGACCCTAAATGTTGAAAGATGATCCTTTTTAAATCTGTACAATAAACGTCTGCTCAAATTTAGTTTCTGAAAAAAAACTTTAAAAGCTGGTGATACGGTACATTATGTACTGTATGTCTTCACTTCAGCTCTAATGTACAGACACACAAAGGCAGCACACTTTTTTAGGTTGGCCCCACACGTGCACTCGTCCATTTGTCATGCTGAAGAATGCTTCATCTGACCACATCACGTTTCTAATATTTAGTAGTTCCTTGCCTGTGCTCTTTGCACCACTGGATGCTGCCAGGCGTGATGAGTGGTTTGTGCTTCACAGCCTTTATCTCCCGCTGCTCAGCTGTTTTGCCTTGCACTATCACAGGCCTGGAATATGCATTTCTGCCTGCTCTTGTTCTGTCCTGATGAAGTCTTCCCCCCTGAGTTCCATGCTGATGTTACCTTAGACACCCTTGCTTATGAAACATGATCAAGCTGGGCTGTTTTGATCACTGAAGCCCAAATGCCCCCAACAAGCACCCCTCTTAAAAATCTGGGGTCTCGTCTGGCAGTCAGGCTAACCACAATCACAGGCAACGAGGCACGCTGAAGTCTGCTGGGATGCTATTTGCCCAAACACATGGGCAACACCTACTGTATGTGTTCCAATTTACTTAGGCTGTGTCCCAGTGCTCGCACTGCTCCCTAAGCCTTCCTTCAAGTCCACGCACGCTTCTGTGATGTAGGGCAAGTGTGGACTTCAAGTGCGCCAGTATTGGAGGGGACATTTCGGTCTGTCGCTCGCTGGTTACGCGGCTCATGCTCTAAATGCTGTCTGTTGTTGATGCTTATTTTCCAGCGGCTAAGTGCAAGTAGGCCGATGATTTAAAAAAACAAACAAATTTCATTCTCCGCTCTGGTCTATCCCTGCACAAAATGAGTGACACCGCGTTCATTCATGTTGAGCAGGCTCCACTCAAAACAGACCGAGTAAACTATGGAAATCTTGACTATATCACTCTCCGTTAATCCAACATTTTACACTACTAAATACATTTCCATCTCTTCTGTCCCAATACAAAAAAATGACAGTACCCAATCAAATTTGTCTCAACAGCTGTTCAGTGTTTACCTGTGTTATTGTCTGTATATATCCCTTAATGTGCAACCACCCTGAATCTGCGTACGTGTCCCGTTTACCTCCCTAGTGTAAGTGTCGACCCTGCGTTCGAGTTTGTCTTTGTTGACCATAGCTGCCTGAAGGGGGCGTAATAAATGGTGCTTGGGTGCCAAACAAGAGCGTTGTCTGGTTTATTTTCCTGCAAGAACCCGAATTCGCTACCGTATGAATCCAAAGTAGTCTACTGTCATTTTGTTTATACATAAAATGAATTTTAAAACTGTAAAAAGTAAGATTTTACCAATACACAAATCTTTTATTCTCCATGGCAACCTCTCTCCGCTGTGATAGGCTACAACATGCAACGTCACCATTTCTCAAAGAATTGTGGGTAATTCCCTTCATGGGAATCCCCTCTGGTGCAGATTTCAGAGAAGGGCGCTCTTGTGACACCCTTGAGAAACAAACTTAGAAGTGGGAAAGCCTACGCCCTTGCAGACGTTAGTGGGAACGCAAGACTGTAAGGATGCACATTAGGACACAGCCTTGCTGTAGTTAGTTTACCCTGGCGGTTCCATTTTTTTCCCCCCACTAGTGTCTATAAAAGCATGGAGGAGCACTTGCTCGTTAGAGAGCCACACAGGCGGCAGAGGGTCAGATACCTGCAGTCTAGAAGAGTGAGCAGGACCGAGGTTCTCTGAAGGGATTGCTGCCCGCTGGGACACCCACAAGCAAGGCATCTTTACAGGCATTCTGGACACAGTACTGCTGGAGCTCTGCGGCCGCCTGAGACACCTGCAAAGACAGCACAACAACCCTCAGACACAGCGCCATTTGAGAAGGATTTCATCTAAATATGACCGGACTCATTCATTCATCCTAGTCAACAACACTCAAGCGGATGAAATCTTAAACATGCAAAACAATAGATATTTTAAAAAATACAGACATATATATAATTGTACTATAGAAGTATACAATAATTCCGAGCACAGAGCCTCAGGTAACTTCATAATGACAGGACCTGATGGAATAATGTAAGACTGGCACTGGACAGGGAGATCTCTCCTTGCCAACTCTGGAAACTTCCACAATCATGGCTTCCTGGCAATGAGTAGCGTACCTTGAATTCTCTGATAAAAATGAAATATTGTCTTGCTAACTTTTTCGCCAATTTTACTTTTGGTTTTTCTCGGGCAGAAGAGCCGATTCCTCTACCCTTGCAATAGGCTGGATTTCCGCTAGTAACCTCAAACCCAGTGGAGTCATTCGGCTCTGAGGACAAGCACACGCACACAGAGA